GACAACTTGAGAGAGAAAGAGAGAGAAGAGGAATATTAGAAAGATAGATAAAAGAGAGAAGAGACAACTTGAGAGAGAGAGAGAGAGAAGAGGAATATTAGAAAGATAGATAAAAGAGACAAGAGACAACTTGAGGGAGAGAGAGAGAGAGAGAAGAGGAATATTAGAAAGATAGATAAAAAGAGAGAAGAGACAACTTGAGAGAGAGAGAGAAGAGGAATATTAGAAAGATAGATACAAGAGACAAGAGACAACTTGAGAGAAAGAGAGAGAGAGAGAAGAGGAATATTAGAAAGATAGATAAAAGAGAGAAGAGACAACTTGAGAGAAAGAGAGAGAAGAGGAATATTAGAAAGATAGATAAAAGAGACAAGAGACAACTTGAGAGAGAGAGAGAGAGAGAGAGAGAGAGAAGAGGAATATTAGAAAGATAGATAAAAGAGACAAGAGACAACTTGAGGGAGAGAGAGAGAGAGAGAAGAGGAATATTAGAAAGATAGATAAAAGAGAGAAGAGACAACTTGAGAGAGAGAGAGAAGAGGAATATTAGAAAGATAGATACAAGAGACAAGAGACAACTTGAGAGAGAGGGAGAGAAGAGGAATATTAGAAAGATAGATAAAAGAGACAAGAGACAACTTGAGGGAGAGAGAGAGAGAGAGAAGAGGAATATTAGAAAGATAGATAAAAGAGAGAAGAGACAACTTGAGAGAAAGAGAGAGAAGAGGAATATTAGAAAGATAGATAAAAGAGACAAGAGACAACTTGAGGGAGAGAGAGAGAGAGAGAAGAGGAATATTAGAAAGATAGATAAAAGAGAGAAGAGACAACTTGAGAGAAAGAGAGAGAAGAGGAATATTAGAAAGATAGATAAAAGAGACAAGAGACAACTTGAGGGAGAGAGAGAGAGAGAGAAGAGGAATATTAGAAAGATAGATAAAAGAGAGAAGAGACAACTTGAGAGAGAGAGAGAAGAGGAATATTAGAAAGATAGATACAAGAGACAAGAGACAACTTGAGAGAAAGAGAGAGAGAGAGAAGAGGAATATTAGAAAGATAGATAAAAGAGAGAAGAGACAACTTGAGAGAAAGAGAGAGAAGAGGAATATTAGAAAGATAGATAAAAGAGACAAGAGACAACTTGAGAGAGAGAGAGAGAGAGAGAAGAGGAATATTAGAAAGATAGATAAAAGAGACAAGAGACAACTTGAGGGAGAGAGAGAGAGAGAGAGAAGAGGAATATTAGAAAGATAGATAAAAGAGAGAAGAGACAACTTGAGAGAGAGAGAAGAGGAATATTAGAAAGATAGATACAAGAGACAAGAGACAACTTGAGAGAGAGAGAGAGAGAGAGAAGAGGAATATTAGAAAGATAGATAAAAGAGAGAAGAGACAACTTGAGAGAGAGAGAGAGAGAGAGAAGAGGAATATTAGAAAGATAGATAAAAGAGAGAAGAGACAACTTGAGAGAGAGAGAGAAGAGGAATATTAGAAAGATAGATAAAAGAGAGAAGAGACAACTTGAGAGAGAGAGAGAAGAGGAATATTAGAAAGATAGATACAAGAGACAAGAGACAACTTGAGAGAGAGAGAGAGAGAGAGAAGAGGAATATTAGAAAGATAGATAAAAGAGAGAAGAGACAACTTGAGAGAGAGAGAGAAGAGGAATATTAGAAAGATAGATACAAGAGACAAGAGACAACTTGAGAGAAAGAGAGAGAGAGAGAAGAGGAATATTAGAAAGATAGATAAAAGAGAGAAGAGACAACTTGAGAGAGAGAGAGAAGAGGAATATTAGAAAGATAGATAAAAGAGAGAAGAGACAACTTGAGATAGAGAGAGTGAGAGAGAGAGAAGAGGAATATTAGAAAGATAGATAAAAGAGAGAAGAGACAACTTGAGAGAGAGAGAGAAGAGGAATATTAGAAAGATAGATAAAAGAGAGGAGACAACTTGAGAGAGAGAGAGAGAAGAGGAATATTAGAAAGATAGATAAAAGAGAGAGAAGAGGAATATTAGAAAGATAGATAAAAGAGAGAAGAGACAACTTGAGAGAGAGAGAGAAGAGGAATATTAGAAAGATAGATAAAAGAGAGAGAAGAGAAATATTAGAAAGATAGATAAAAGAGAGAAGAGACAACTTGAGAGAGAGAGAGAAGAGGAATATTAGAAAGATAGATAAAAGAGAGAAGAGACAACTTGAGAGAGAGAGAGAGAGAGAGAGAAGAGGAATATTAGAAAGATAGATAAAAATAATTAAGGAGTGGAAGAGATGAGACAGGGATAGAGAAACACTGCAATATTTGTCACTGGCATCACTTTAGTTCTACATTTACTTATAAGTTCATGTATAGTTTTGCTTAGGCTTCAGAAAATTTCCAGTTACCAATGCTACCGGTTATATGTCCTGTAGTGAGATTTTTCTTGAGTGGGATACATGCAGATGTACAATATTTTTAAACGAGAGGCAAAATCATAATTTATGTAACTGGCATGGAACGCAAACCAATTCCTTTTTACTTCCAAAACTGTACGCAAGTATTTAAGATTTTTCTTCTGCCTTCACCCCCCCCCCCCCCCCACCCTGATCTTGGATCTACAGGTAGTTTCATCTTCTTTCAATTTCTCTTTTTACCATCTCTATCTTTCAATTTATCCCCCCCCCCCCCACCCTCTCTCTCTCTCCCTCATGTGCTTTATCATCCTTTTGTCCTCACTTGTACGGTTATAGAAGCTTTCCTCTCATCAAAATTTCATCATACACTTTCAAATTCAAAAATCTCATTTTCAAAAAAGAAAGTTGAGTTCTGGTAAAAGGTGAAAATAATTTGTGAGCTTTCTTCTTCTTTCTCAGTCACTTACATGTACTTCATTTAGAGGCTGGAGACAGAAGGGTGTTTAAAGATAAAGGCAAGTTCTGGTGTAAAAAAAAAAAAAAAAAAAAAAAAAAAAAATTCTCACAGAAACTTAGACTGAATGTTCAAGATTACAAATAAATGTCATTTGCCAAACAATTTTGGTAGAAAATGTATACTGGACAAGTAATGAGCTTAGAAAGATTAGGAAATCAAGGTTGGTAGCCCCCGACACCAATTGTGTAGTCCCATATACATCTTTCTGTGTACAGTGCTTGTTACTTTACCAAGACTGGGTCAAATTTATTATGATTTTGATGACTCCAGAACTTTGCAGTGCTGCATGATCAACTTTTTTCTGATCCATTCCACACTTTTTCTTTCACAATGCAATCGGATGACCAGAACTCACCTTTATCTTTAATCATAATGTAATTTTAACATAAAGTCAACATCCTTCCAGCTTCAAGCAAACAATCACTAAACAAAAACATCACTTGTTTACAGTAATTCACCACACTGAACATGAAACCGTATCACAGAAGTCGTCCTGGTTTTGATCTGTTTTTTAATTTTGTATTAAATATAGTGTTCACACATACATGTAGATTTGTATGTAATGGAACCCTGGAATATCTCTGAATGGAATATCATAAAAGCCTATTGTTCTCAGAGATGGCGGGAAAAGCAATTATATATTTTTTTTCTCAATTCTCTGTAAACATTCAGGATTGTCTTTGTCATTTTCTTACTATATTAATGATTTTATATTTGAGATTCATTATCAACAATTGCACAAATGATATTGATAAGTTTGAATATGATATCTGTTGCAAAGCTCAAGCATGATATATGGCAATATACAATCATGATAAATGCTTAGGTCTATAACCATATGTATATTACCTGTAATTAAAGACATTATATGAAGCCAAAACGGTTGAATTATTTGAATTAATTGGAAACTAGATGGAACTTCGACTGCGCGCAGTCGAAAATGATGCCTCCGTCATAGAGCAATTTTACAAACCAAAACAGAAGAAATTTTTCGAATTCAAGTTCAATTGTAATCCATTAACAGGTTTTCAGAATACTGTGATTACAAGCTATTTTTGCATACATAATGAGCCCATGACTTTTGACCTTATGAACCAAGAATCTACTCAGTTCATTGGCTCTGCAAGAAACATACATGACCTAAGTTGGCAGGAATCCATCAATCGGTTCTTGAGATAACGCGATCACGAGCTGTTTTTGCATACATAATGTGCCCTGTGATCTTTGAACTTTGACCTTGTGACCCCTACATCTAATCAGTTCATCGGCTCTGCAAGTAACATACATGACCTAAGTTTGGCAGCAATCCATCAATCGGTTCTTCAGATAACGCGATCACAAGCTCGTTTTGCATACATAATGAGCCCTGTGGCCTTTGACCTTTGACCTCGTGACCTCAAAATCTCATCAGTTTTTTGGCTTTGCAAGTAACATACATGACCTAAGTTTGGCAGCAATCCATCAATCGGTTCTTCAGATAATGCGATCACGAGCTCGTTTTGCATACATAATGAGCCCTGTGACCTTTGACCTTTGACCTCGTGACCCCAAAATCTAATCAGTTCATCGGCTCTACAAGATACATACATGACCAAAGTTTGGCAGGAATCCATCAACCAGTTCTTCAGATAACGCGATCACGAGCTCGTTTTGCATACATAATGAGCCCTGTGACCTTTGACCTTTGACCTGGTAACCCCAAAATCTAATCAGTTCATCGGCTCTACAAGATACATACATGACCAAAGTTTGGCAGGAATCCATCAACCAGTTCTTCAGATAACGCGATCACGAGAACGGGACGTACGTACGTACAGACGTACGTACGTACGTACGTACGGACGTACGGACGGACGTACGGACGGACGGACAACCCGAAAACATAATGCCTCCGGCTACTTCGTAACGGAGGCATAAAAATTAGCAACAATTAGATCTGGCTTACTTGGACTAAAGATATATATATATATATATATATATTACATGGCTGTGTTTACATGTTTATTCCCAAGTAATCTTCTAAAACAATGAGATTTAATATCCAATAAAGTTCAACATTCAGCAATAAATACAACTGAACCAGTTCTGTTATCATAAATGTTATTTTCATTTAAAAAAAAATGCTTTTAATTTTGTGCCTTGTTGCTTCTATAAGAAGAAAAACATACACTTGGAAGTGATTTCAGTTGTTGTGAGATCGGTCAATTTGAAATCATTATACAAAATGCAGAAGACATGTTTTGAGCCATAGCAATTTCCATTATATATCTGACAGGTAGTTGACATAAGAGGGCAGCATTCACGGCAGCTGGAGTAATGTTGCATCTTCATCAGGATGAATGCAGTACCTAGTCTTTGAACTCGTCTATTGCTTTAATACCAAACAACCTCTAAATGTTATGCGAAATAGCCTGCAAAAGATTTATGCAAACACGTGATGGATTCAACATGAACCCTTTACCTGCTTCCGTCAACTAATGCAACAGACGATCAACTGCCACGGTTGACTATTTTCACACGTAAAGTGTATATTGACAATAAACTCTAAAAATGTGGCAGTCGACTCAGGTTATGAGTCAAATTGCCACATCTAAGTTTGTAATAGCTTCTCCCCCTCTCCTCCCCAAGCTCAAGTTAGTTCATCTCAAAAAATTTCCCTTAATTCTTTTGGAGGATTGTCTCTTTAGTGCAATGTCTCTGATACCAGATTTTTCTTTGAGATACATGTTGAGGATGGCATTTGGATGTCCGGCTTCTTTCCCTTGCAGTGACAGCGAAAGAAAGTGATTAACTTGGTGAGTGGATATATCTACAGGATAACATTCTAGGGATGAGCTGTTATTACTGTTTCAGAAAAGGAAAAAGACAAAGACAAAAAACATGACAAAGAAATTAATTCTACCGTGGAAGAATGTTGTACTTCGCTTTAATACCTGAAGTAATTTACAGTTGGTCAAGAAAAAGAGAGAAAGAAAGGTAGCATGAAAGTTCAATATTTATTTTAGCTCGACATGGTTACTCTTAAAATTGGAGTTTTTCAACTGGTAATGTTAAATTCCCCTCATTTGTTGTGTACAAGATGAGGGCTTCAAATTTCACTCATAGCTAGAGAAAACAAATCTTTTGATCTAAAATATCGCACTCTGAGTCAAGTGATTAGGCTACTCGACTATAAAGATACCTCTACTTTATCCATGTTAAGTTTGAAGTTATCATGGTAACAAGATGATGTCTGGTATTTTCAAATACTTTTATGACTCTGTGACCTTTAAGCCCTTAAAACTCCAAATCCTATCAGTTCATCCTTCCATATTCATTCATCTTTCATTTGAATTGTTGTAATGCCTTTCAAGTTTTATCAATTGATTTATTAGGGTAATGAGAATCAGGATGGACGGACAAAAAGACAGATGTACAGATAACCCAAAATATAATGCCACCACCACTGATGTTCGTGCCGGAGGCACAAATCCTTGCTTTAAATTGACATAGTTATGGCTGAGTAGCATCCCAGGTATTTTTTTTTTAAGAAGACCAGAGCAATTTTTCAGGCTGAAGTGGACACATGGACTGATTTATCACCCTTGCCAGCAAGATTTGGTCCCCAATTCTTGGAAACCGCAGCAAATTTGTGATGCACTGACGAGAACTCTAAACAGCACTTTAAAAAAAAGAAGTAATCTAGCCATCCTATCAAAGCTAAGTTTACTTAAATGACATTACGAACTTGCGACAAAATCGAGAGGCTTACCGGAAATGAACACTACCCAGGTCGTAACTTGTCCATTAATTGCGACAAACTGGTAAGGCCAGAATCTGGCCGATTTAATTTTGATCTCCACCACACCGTACCAACGCAAATATTCATATATTCAAATATTAATATGCAGCGCTAGGATGGCTAGGTTACGTTAAAAAAAAGACTTGAACAGCACACTGTACTTACCACTTTGACTTCCTTCAGTCCATATTTGACAAAGTACATTAAAGGTCTGCCTTCGGGATCGTCCTCGGGGTATGTCATGAGAATAAGCATGGCTTCGTCACTTAAACTCTCACCTAGAAAGAATTGGAATTCCTTCTTCTTGAAACCGGTCAGTATGACGCTCTTCAGGTCCTCCTTAAAAGTGTTCTTGAAGGCTGTGTACTGTAACTTCAACTCCTCCACTAGTTTTTCATTTTTCTTGCCTTCTGCTTCTAGTTCCTTAATTTGATCATCCTTTGCTTTCATCAATCTGAACAGTGAGAAGAAGAAATAAAACCCACAAGAGCCATCAGTGACTTAGCCCTAAAAAACAGAAGGTCTGCAGAACTAAACAAGACAAAGACAACTGCATCTTTGATATGTACCTCCACCTAAATTCAGATAAGATCATGACTCAAGCTGTTCTTGAAATTATCATGATAATGAGAATGAAAGACTTTTAATTGATATAATAACGTTTGACATTAATTAAAATTGACATTCATTCCATTATGTTTAGGTCTCCTCCCTTTTGTTGCCACTCATTTTTTACAATTATCTTTCATGTGCTATACTTTTCAAATGGAATTAATGGAATTGCAATGACTCCAGAACCATTAGAACAGATTTCAATCTCAGGCACCACCTTTGGTGATGGAGGCTTAAAAAAAAAGAAGATCAGTGGTTTCTTAAGGAAATCGTTAAAAGGGAAAGCCAACCCTTGTACAGATCTAATTTGTTTGAAATAAATCAGACCAATAATAAGAGTTATGAGTGTTTGAAATTTGAAATCACTGGGTGTCATTGGATAGTTAAGTACAGACGGACAACTCTCCTGTTTGTGGTGTGCAGAAAGTTCCTTAACAAAAACATTATTATCCCCCCCCCCCCTTATATTCATTCTTCCTTGGGGCACTGCACATTTTGAAACATTGTTATTTTAGGCATGTTGTTTCTTAGAACAAATGGGAAAGTGGTCCGACACTACGTCACAGTGACATTACCTATTTAGCCAATTTAAAGTTCTCATATGTATAGTGATTAAGACTTTCAAAAATTAATAACTCTTATTATTTGTCCGATTTAATTTACACCTTCATTTTGCTGATGTTTGTGCTTTCTTTTTAGAGAAGTCTGTTGGTAAGGTTTGATTTTTCAGTAAGCAGTTATGTACTGTCCTTTAATTTCATTCTTATATATTTGCTTTTGATGAAATACATGTACATGCATGTAGTCCTCCTGAGATCATTAGCTTCTAATTTTTAGGCATTTGAATATTTGATTGATACTTACTTCTTGATATAAGGCTTGATCTTGTCCTGCTGGTATGCTTCTTTAGTGTACTCCGTGACTTCTGTAAGACGATTTGCAAGGACGATGTCTACGCCACTTACACTAGTCTCTTCGGTGGTTTCAGCTGCTTCCTCAGCAGACGGATTGCCTCCTATGTTTATATCCCCAGCTGAAGAATTTTCGGTCACTCTCTGCATCCATACAATAAATATATATGAATTAGCGTATTACTACTACTTCTACTGATAAGAACAAAAATAATAAATAATAACAATAATTATATACTTCACTTAAGAAATCCAGCCATCTGATTGGTCGAAATTGCGGTCGTGATTTAAGCCATTCCCGTAAAGAAACAAAAAAATGACAAAACCATTTAATAGTCCAAGAGTGAAATCCCTCAAAATTCCAGTTACCGGGAAAATAATAAAATCTTGCTGCGATACCCATTGGTTTGCGTGTTAAAATGTTCTGTGAGCGAGCGCGGACACCATACAGTGCTTTTTGTCTGCGATTCCCAACTGATCGAAAATTTCAGTCATTTTTGATAAACAGACAGTTTCTCAGATTTTCCGTCATGTTTTAACCAATCTTTACTCGATAAAAGGATAAGGTAAGAATTCTTGGATTTTTGTTTGAATTCGGCATATAAAAGGGATATCGACTGCTTTAATACTCGAGGACTGGCTGTTTCTATACTGGCTCTCGGGGGAAATTTGCATCTGCTGCTATCGCCCCTCAGCGCGCCGCCCACCCAGCCGCACCTCGGGGTGATAGCAGCGGATGCAAATTTCCCTTGAGCATATAAAAACGGCCAGTCCTCTCGTAGCAGTTAATATCTTTATACCCTAATAATGAAATTAATAATAATCAGGGCTCTTACCAGAATCAACTTACAGCGGGAAAATTAATTGGAATAGCCAGCAACCAGAAATTGCAGGCAAGGGTCTGTGTAGGCCCCCTGGCGGGATCTAGGGACAGTGCCCCTAATGGGGGAGGGGTAGGTGCAGTTCCCCTGAAACTATAGGCGTTTTCTTTAATGGTATTAACTGGTTTCAAAAAATGATATATATTGGGGGAAAAAAATTGTTACCAATGGACTATTTCAAACTGTGTATTAATTGTTTTGTGGATTACTATGTCAAAATCTTGGGTTAGAATTAACCGGGAAAAAAATAAAATGGGAATTCATAATGTGGTTAAAGGTGTAAAATTAAAATATTTTGTTTACTCGGATTTCCCTTTAAAGATGCTCATGCATGGGTATATGGTCGTTCGTGAAGTAGGCACCTTGGGGATCACTCCCAATCACTACCAATGGGTATTACGCTCCTGTGTGTATGTCCGTGTGCTGCCCTCTATATACCCACGCTTGAGCAACTTTAATATCATGTTACGTCATCATGTAATCATGTATTATGTAATCTTTGTCGACACATGGCCTTCCAATTAAAATACAGTTTGAGCTACAAGCTCGTCGACCATGCACTTTTTTGAGGCACTTGTAAAATGATCATCTTCAATGACTGGCATAGTACTTTGCCAGTCACCTTAGAGAATCTATGATTTTAACCGGGGCCTCTTAGTGCATGGTATATTTCATTACTTATATGAACGTGTACCAACCTTTCCTTTAAGTTGAATAAAGTTTTGATTTGGACCAACAAGCTTCATGGGGTAGATGTCGGTGAAAAGCTCATCACCTGCAATGGAAGAAAATGAGAGAAAATATAATATCATTTAAATAGAAGACTAGAAGAAGTGAGTAACACGAAGCAAATGAGGGACACATATACATGTACATGCATTTGTGCTTCAAGTCGGCCTCAGTCTGACCTCAAGATAACAAAGACCAAATTAAATCAGTTGAGACGACTGGGGCCAGTCACAGAACAACACCTGATACCAGAGCAAGCAGGTTTCCGGCCTGGAAGATGGTGCACTGGCCAAGTGCTAAATCTAACCCAGCACATCGAGGATGGTTTCGAGAAGAATGAACCGACTGGAGTTGTGTTCGTCGACCCGACAGCTGCCTACGACACTGTTAACCACCGTATACTTCTCGACAAGCTCTATACCATGACAAAGGACTCCCATCTGACTAAGCTTATCCAAATGCTCCTGGAAAATTGACGCTTTTATGTAGAGCTCAACGGGAAGCACAGCAGATGGAGGAAACAAAAGAATGGTCTACCTCAGGGCAGCGTACTTGCTCCTGTCCTATTTAATGTTTACACCAATGACCAGCCAGTGTACCCAGGAACAAGAAGCTTCATCTATGCTGATGACCTTGGCATAGCAGCCCAGAAAATCCACATAGACAAGATAGAAACCACTCTTTCATCAGCCCTAGACAACCTGACAGACTACTACAACAACAACCATCTGAAGGCTAACCCTGCCAAGACCCAGGTTAGCTTGTTCCATCTCCGCAACTACAATGCTGGGAGGAAGCTGTCCCTGAAGTGGAACGATGTCTCATTGAAACACTGCGATCACCCTGTCTACCTTGGAATCACTCTTCACCGAACCCTTTCATACAAACAGCATGTTCAAAAGGTGAAGGGTAAAGTTGGGACAAGGAACAACCTACTACGGAAACTGGCAAACTCATCTTGGGGTGCCAATTCCTCCACGCTGAGGTCAACTACTCTTGCGTTGTGTTACTCTGCAGCAGAATATGCCTGCCCTGTATGGGGAAGATCATCCCATACAAAGAAAGTTGATGCAGCACTCAACGACAGCCGCAGATGCATCACTGGCTGCCTCAAGCCCACGAATGTGGACAGCTTGCACTCCCTGGCCGGCATTGCTCCATCCGATGTCCGCAGAACAGTTGCAAGTAGGACTGAACGCAGCAGACAAGTTGAGGACACCCGCCATCCCCTTTACTCGCATCAACCGGCCCCTACCCGCCTGAAGTCAAGGAAAAGCTTCCTCTATACAGTCCAGCCACTGTCACAACCTCCTCATTCAACCAGAGTGATCTTGTGGGAAGAGAAACGTTCTGAAAACCACCACCATGAAAAGCTACCAATCCCGACCAAGGAACAGCTGCCCCCTGGCCATAGATGTGATTGGAAGACGTGGAAGTCCCTCAATAGGCTTCGCACAGGTGTGGGGCGATGTAAATACAACATGAATAAATGGGGATATACTGACGACGCAGACACCAACTGCGAGTGTGGAACATCCGTGCAATCCATGTCACACCTATTAAGATGTCCACTCCTAATCGACCAATGCTGCCTGGAAGACCTGGTGGCAGCAAATGAGAAGGCTCTCCAGTGTGCCAAGGCCTGGCAGAGCATTTGAGGACACGAAAGAAGAATACAAAGTGTATATATCCTTTTCTTGAACATGATATTATTTATTTTTGGTGCTTGATAAATCTTTATAGATATTTATCACAACTATGAAATTTTAGATGGTTACCATTTCGTGTTTTTTCTTTTCTTTTTACTTTTTTTCAGTTATGAGTTATTAGTTTTTGATCGATCGGGTGGGGGGAATGTAATGGACAGGTGTTCACTGAATAGATGTTGTTGGTAGCAATTTACTAGGTCAACTAACCTACTCGCGTCAAGTCGTTGAGTCAACGCCCGTTGCGGTCGTACACCGGTCAGGTTGGACAGGCTTAGCAGGTCATGCACCACCGCACCGGGATACTACATACACCGGAGTATTTCGTTTCACATACTCAGAAACAGGAAGAGGTGGTATTTACGAACTCTAAATCGGGACTCTCTAACCCACAACAGTTTACTTTATATATAAAGACCGGGCTAGAGTCGGTGGATGATTGATTTTATGTTATACCTCGAAGGATGACCTGGTCATCAGGTAATTTATTTTCCTTTGGAAATATGGAGTGATATATTGTGATATAATCGAGTACCGATAAGACGATATATACAGTGATAGGATATACTCCTATCTAAGTTCATAGTGATTCTGAATCATTTTATTTTTGTCAATTATTTGCATGTTTAATTGTATTGAGCCGATGGCTCTTAAATAAACTGTACACTATATTTTATTCTTGAAATTGCTTGATTTTCTTGTGATACATACTCATTTCATCAGAACTTAATTTATCGTCAGACCATAGTAATTTACAGTATTTAAATCTGACAACGAGCAATAAAGGTTTGAATTTTGCATGGTCGCGCGATTTTAGGACACAACATCGGGCACGCAATATTCAGACAACCTAGTAAATTGCATCAATAAAATCATCATGGAATCCGTTTTTTGCATCGCCAATGCGTCGATCAAACCTTTTTTTTAAGGACGCATCGGTCCGCGTTTACGAAGATCATCCTCGTTTATGAAGACGATCCTTATTCTTGAACCAGCGCCCCTACTGGTGGCATGCCATCGAACTAAGTTGCGCTTAAGTTAAGGAGGCCCTTTCTCACTTTAATTGGAAGCCACTCCAGCAGATTGGCCAATGGGAGCGAGTAAACTCATGGTATAGCGCTCAATGCGCAAAGTTCTCATGGTAGGGAGGCCAATGCCCAAATCTAACTTTTTAATTACTAATTTGTTTATACTAAAACTAAGATTAAAAGAAAGCATTTACTTTCACTAAGAAAATCCACCCATCTGCCGACTCCATAGGTTCCATCAAATAGGAGATATCCAGCTGGTTTGTAGCCATTTCCTTCTACGCCTTTCCGTACGTAAGAGCCTTGAAACAATTATATTTCATGTCGCAAAGTTACGTTCATAATTAGACAGGCCCGAGGGACAAAGTTCATGATGAAGTTTAAAACTTCGCGCGAAAGTGCAATCACTCAACAGCGGCTAGCCTTGAATCGGTCGCACACGTACACACCTTCTTCTTCTTAGTTGATCCCTCCACCGACACAGGCAAGCCCCGATGCAGGCTGAAGTCCAGCCATCAATGTGCGAACGATTACATCTTCTACTACTACGAGCCGAAGACGATGGTTCAAAAAAGGAAAGAAATATATATAATTCATTGATATTTACCTTAGATGTGTATTCCAATAATTTGATTTCCTCATGAGTATTCCTTATTATCAACGATCGAGAAGTTACGAGGTCCAATTAAAATCCATCTTGCAGCGAACACAATCATAGCGCACATCCATGCATGCAACGTACGTGTACTAATATTTCTCTCTCTCTCTCTCCCTTTCGCTATACGTAACATACACACTCACTTAACCATGTATCATACAACACACACCTTCAAATCATGGCTTTCATTTCAATTCTCAATTGGAGTATAGACTGCTCACGTAGACTTTTTTTTTTACTGAAATATCTTTTTTAACACTTCTCATACATTACTGCACGACACTCGTATCTAGTGCTGTGAGAATAAGGTACTAGGGTCTATAAATAAGACTACGCTTTGCGCACGATCTGACCGGAGCTCAGATTATGTCGCAATACCCTTTATTTTTGGCGCGAACAATGACGTCACTGTTCACTGTTTTCCTTCTCATTTTGAGATGGATGTAGCTATAGGGCTCAAACCAACGCAAGATTGACAGAAACATCGTACTCTATCTACTTTCGAATGTTCAGTTTGTAAAAATCTGTATTTAAAAAGATACAATCTTTTTTTTAAATATTTTCTAGATCCTAGTTGTTAGAAATGGCAATTGTGAACATCTGAAATGTTGATCTCTATCAAAAGTTCTTTACTCAAAACGGATCCCATATTTTTAGGGTCTACCTTCTGCCTATGACTTGTATGAGAAGGTTTTTAGTGAGCAAACCTCTACGCCCTCTAGGATTTTCTTAGTCGGTGGTGCGAGTGCGTCAAGGTCGTCTGCAACCACAATTATTGGATTAAAAAACGTCAAAATCTGCAAGATTGTCAACAAATGGTGAAAGACTGTTACAGATCCGTGATTATAGGTAGACCTATGTTGTGAAATGTATAATTGTATTTTCTTTTCATATTTTCTTCAATTTTTATTTTTACATCATTTTTTTCCCTTTGCTAATTTTTTGAAGTGGGCGACGAGCGCACAAATCGTAGGTGTAGAAGCCTTACGCCCGGGCATTGGCCTCCCTACTCATGGAGAGCGTATTGGGAACCCTACACCCACAGAGCGCCAAAGAAAAAAACATCCACAAAGATCCTTATTTTTAAGGACGCAATATGTCCGCTTTTACGAGTTTATCCTCGTTTACGCGGATGATCCTCATTCTTGGACCAGCGCCCTCTACTGCTGGTGATGCTGGTTTTTGTGTCAAAATGACATCGCCATATTTTCTTGCGAAAATGATCACAATGTCAATGAGTATTATTTTCCAAATTTCAACAAATCTTTTGGCACACTTAAGTTAGATGTAGATCTAGATCTAGTCTACTCCCTACAATAACAGGAATAGGTTGAAATCAAGCATAATGAAATTTCTTGTCAAGTAGGATATTGTAAGATGTCGCCAATGTCACTGATGTAGGCTACAGCACCAGTGTAGGTTTACAGAAGTGTAAACCGAGTCGTACAATAGGCGACTTGACACAGTGTATAAATATCCTTTAGTCTCCTCAACACCAAATGTTTTTATTCACAAGATATTACCCAAATTGCAACATAATATAGGAATATTAGAATTACCGGTAAGAAAGTCCTTGTAGATAATCATTGTGATAGGATTAACTGGATTCTTGATAGGTCCAGAACGTCTTCGTCAGCTTTGATTCGGCTGCGGACTAAAAAGGATGTTACGTGTGGATAAACCAAACGTACGTACGACGTACGTACGCTGTAAACTGGCAAGGCAAGTACGTCGTTGAGGCGACTCATATTATAAGCGCATGCGTATGATGGCTAGCTAGGTTGAACGAATGAATGAATGAATGAATGAATGACGAATGAACCGTGCATGCAACTGCACTGGCCACTCACTACAATTATATGTTAGTCTGGTATCCATGCGGATTTGTGATTTATGATTTCTTGAATTTACCAATCATTGCCAGTAGTAAATTACCCCGCGACGGTCAGGGGCGATGGAACGTCTTTCAAAGTGGCAGAGGACTAAAAAAAAAAAAACACTTCGAGAAAAAAGGAGGCAGCCACAAGCAGTGGCGTACGCAGGATTTTTTTTTAAAGGGGGGGGGGGGGTTTAATTGCCGGATGTTGTCATAAATGTGACCCCACGAGGTATAGCGAAGCGGAACAGAAGAGGCTTTGCATGGGAGGGGGTTATTCCATCCAACGTCGTGAATTAGCAACTAGCAATTAAAAACCTGGGGTTTTTCCTGCATTTCGATTTTTCATGTTTCTTTTTTTCCCCTCACATTTGACAGAAAATCAAGACAGGCATATAAAAAGCATGTTGCACAATTAATGACCACTCAATTCACGTGTCAGACTAAAGTTAAATCCTCGGAAATATTGAAAAGCGCCCCCCCCCCTTAAACTTTTTTTTGTGTGTGATTTGGAGGACCCCCCCTTCCTTTTTTTTAATTAATTTTTTTTTTTTTAAATTGTGGTAAAGGGTGAAAAAAATCTGACCTTACTCCCCCCCCCCCCCCCTCCCCCACTCAACGAAACAAACAAAATTTAGACCGGCCAAATTTTCAAATTTTGGGACACACAAAAACAACAAAAAGTGTTCTTACTCAGGGGCGGCGGAACGACTTCCAAAATGGGAGGTTGGGGGGGGGGGGTTCAACCCCCCCGAAAACATAATTTCATTATCTATAAATTACAATTGCCAGTGATCGAAGTCATCGAACTACTGAACTTGAACTAGCTTAACTCTAAAATATTAAAGCACTTTATCATTTATTGGAATGATGTTCTTTCAGACCAAAATGTTGAAAGTGCTTTTGATAATTTCTTTAATAAATTCATATTGATGTATGGTGAGAATGTTCCTCTGGTTGAATATAAAAAGAAGAATTATAACAAAGTTCCTCGTATGCCATGGATAACTAAATCAATATTAAGGTCAATTACTAAGAAAATAAGTTGTATTATCAATATAAAAGGAGAAGCTCTGATTTTTTGTGGAGAAAGTATTCTAATGATAGAAATACTCTTACTTCTGTATTGCGTGATGCTACGAAAAAATATTACTCTGCTCAATTTCAAATGACATTTAATAATATTAAGAAATAAGAATACATGGAAAGTAATTAGAAGTTTTTTTAAACCATCAGTAAAAACTACAAATATCAAATGTATAAATGTGAATGGTTGTTCCGTAGAAGATAGACAAATTATTTTAATGATTATTTTTGTAATGTCGGGCTAAAACTTCAGGACTCTATTTCTAGATGTCAGAAAAGCTTTATTGAGTTTATGCAAGAACCCAAATATAGATATGTTTTTAATGCCCACAAATGAAATAGAATTGTTTAAACTTGTGAGCTCGCTTAAAAGTAATAAAAGTCCTGGCTTTGATGGCATAAAAAATGAATTAATTAAGGATATTATACATGGAATTGTGATACCACTTGTTCATATTTATAATTTGTCTTTCTTATCTGGTATTGTATCGGGACAAATGAAAATTGCTAAGGTAGTGCCAATATTTAAAAAGGGTGATCCTCAAACATTAAGTAGACCCATTTCACTATTGACATCCTTTTCAAAGCTTTTAGAAAAGCTTATATGATAGAACAGTGATATTTAAAAAAAAAAGACTAAAATATTTTCAAAATTCCAGTTTGGCTTTCGTGAAAAGCACACCACTACACATGCAATTTTACACTTTGTTGATAAAATAGCTCAAGCACTAGATGGTCACCTTCATACAATTGGTTTATTTTTGGATTTCTCTAAGGCGTTTGATACGGTTGATCATGAAATTTTAATAAGTAAATTGTTATATTATGGAGTGAGGGGCATCGCTCGCTCTTAGCTGGTTCAGGAGCTAGTCATCAAACTATATCTTGTGGGGTCCCTCAGGGGTCCCTTCTTGGCCCCTTCTTTTTATATTATATATTAATGATTTTTATCTTTCATCTGATATTTTTCATAATTTTTGCAAATGATTCAAGTGTATTTTTTTTCTCATAAAAACCCTAAAGTTTTATTAGATACAGTTAATATTGAATTAAAGAAAGTTATGTTGTGGATTCATGCAAATACGTTGTCCTTGAATCTTCAAAAGACAAACTATATGTTTTTTAGTAACTCCCTAAAGGATGTACCTGGAAATGTATTTTTTGATAATGTTAATGTTGTGAGAGTAACTTCCACCAAGTTTCTTGGGCTACATATTGATGAGAAGCTGTCTTGGGCATCTCATTGTACTAATATTTGTAAAGTCGTGTCTAGAAATACTGGTGTAATTTATAAATTAAGTTCTTTTGTCCCACAAGAAATTTTGCTTATTTTGTATTCTACTTTAATTTTGCCTTATCTCAATTATGGAGTGCTGGCATGGGGGAAGTCATTGAAAACACAATTAGATAAGATTTGTGTTGCCCAAAAGAGGGTGGTTAGAGTTGTGTTTAATGCGAGCTATCGTGCTCATAATGTTTTGTTCTACAGTAATAAGCTATTGAAGGTTGAAGACATATTTTACTTTATACAGTGAGTTAGGCGCAATTATGTATGGTTTTGAAAATGGTACTCTCCCAAATGCGTTAGTACAAATATTTCGAAAGAACAATCAAATTCATAGCTATAATACAAGGCAGGCAACTGCACTTCATATTCCACGTGTAAGAACTGCTTTTGCTCTGAAGACGCTGGCTTGTACGGACCCAAGTTTTGGAACTCACTTCCTATCAATGTAACTAGATATGTCAGTGTCTTTGTTTTTAAACGCAAATTGAAATTACATTTATTGAGTAACTATGTCGACAATTAACATAAAAATTATATCACCAGAAATGATATTAGGTAATAATTTATCAATTGTTATTGATAACGGGCATTATCTTTTTGTTTGTGTTATGTTTGATTATTCAATATAAATGTCAGCATTTCACATTCTCTTCCGCCCCCCCTCCTCTCTTCTATTTTGCTTTTTCTTTACACCAAATACCATTTCCCCATTTATACATATAACTTTCTTCTTTCTCTGTTTTTCTCTGTTTTGTTGTTTTTCTCGTTCCAGTTTGCTTTTTTCCTCTCGATCCCTTTGTAGATCCTCTCCTTTTCAAATTTCAAGCTATCCCTTTTGTAAATATTTCCCCCATATTTAATCATGTGTAGTTTTGAAACATTGATGGATTATGTTATATGGGGACCTTGCTCTTACAAGCCCAGCTTTTTTAAGGTCTCCATTTTCTTTCATTTGGATTATATATCGACTTAAGGTTGCACTTAAGTTTTTTTTTCTTATGCTGTTTTTTGTTCTATTATTATATGTAAAAATGATGTGAAAGAAATAAATAAAATGAACCCTGAACCTTGAAAATGAACCTATTTAACCCTAATGAGGCCGGGGGGCATTATGCCCCCCCCCCGCTCCACAATTTTTCAGATTGCTCGGAAACGCATATGGATGGCGCCCCGCCGCTCGCTGACTTTTTTCTTTCGAGTCTTGCGCAACTGGGGGGGGGGGGGGGGGCGGGCATAATGCCCCCCCCCCCCCACCGTACTAAGACCTCAAAAAGCCCGGTCTTTTTTAGGGTTAAAGCTCCCTTGAATTAGACTAGCTAAACTGTAGTGCCGTATGGCCGCTGCTCCATTCGTATCAACACACATAAACTGCACTGCAGTGTAATGCATGCTAGTAATAGTATGTATGCATAGCATGTATCTAAAATCTAGTTAGTTTTGCCTACATCGTATGCATTATACTAGGCTTAGCGCCTAGGGCTGGGTGATATATCGTGAATGAATGTTACTCTCACAATTGCTCAATTTTGAGTCACGTAACCTTTAAAGTGAATGAATTTCAGAGGATGTCAGCGGCAAGTAAATCTGACATGAATGCACTCGCAGAGCAGTTTGCATCAGTGACTGGTGAGCTAAGACTAAGTTTAACAAGTTTAACTTTTTTTTAAACTTTCATTTTCAACTTCAACTTACAAGATGCAACTACAGTTTATAATTAATTTAAGAGGTTAATTTTATCTTGTTAAACCTTTTATTTACCTGCAAAGTATTCTTGAGCTTATAGCAAAGAAGAAGAAGAAGAAGAAGGAAGTAGCTAGCCCTAGCTAGGGTCTTGGACTAGTTTAAAGAGAGAGCCGACCCTACCCAAATAAGAAAGAAAGAGACGGAAAATTCGGTCTAGGTCTAGATTACATGGACTCGGGTTTAGACCAAAATTTCTGTCTCTTTCGTTCGTTAGCCTCAAAATTCTGATTTGGCAATTGGGTAGGGTCGAGAACCGACCTAGTAATTTATAAACTGACATTTGTTGACATTCCCCCTAACACAGCTCACAGATGGTATCCCAGCCGAATCGCACCATGCGGATAGATTGAGCCGAATCGGAACCTCTTTTGGCTCCTAAATTATTAAAATTTTCAGCGCTTGTTCAGAAACGTATCCAAAAATTGACCTGTAACTCTGGCGTGGAGATACCCTAGTCTCCTAAAACATACCCAAAATGAAGTAAATAGGTCTATTCATTAAATGTCCAAATAACGATCATGACTACATGAGTTAAAAGTCGTCATGTTTATTTACCTGTTTCGTGTCAATTTTCTTGTTATTTTTGGAGTATTTTTTGGATAGACTAAGTAGGGTCTAGATCTAGGCACTCCAGCAAAGCATAGAGAGTCAAGGTCAATGCGTATTGACCTCTAGCACTGCATGCTTGCTGTGAGGCGGGTATTTTTAGACCCCATACACAAATACACACACCACACAATATTGCATAGACTGTACACAATCTTGTCGATGCAGCTGTAAGCAAAGTTTGACACGAGACTTACAATTTGAATTTTTAAATTATTCTTTCTAACATCAGTAAGTTAAAAAAAATGTATTTTACTGCTAATTAGGTGTCATCAATTGTCACTAAAGTACCGATTTTTAGTGAAATCAGTTGAGTTTGGTACAGTGGTGTTTGAAATGTTGAGAATCAAAAGCACAGCTTTTACTACACAGCCAGGATAGTGATGCTCCTATGTGTGGATCTAGGCAGTATTTACTACTATTAGTTTAGTAACCTAGCCTTTTTGATACTTTACGAAAAAAAACAATTAGTGTGAGAACTGAGAATGAGAGTGAGAAGGGTGTGCATGGGGTTTGGTTTCTAGAAGAATGCTGTCATCTCAACAGTCCAGCTACACCAGTTCTAACTCTAATTCTCATTGCTGCTCGATGCCTATCGATTGACTTAGACCAAAAATTGACTAGCTCAATTGAATTGAATTGAAATTTATTGTCCCTTTCAGGAAATTCTTTTTTCACTGGTTTTACAGTCATTGTACATGTACATAATACAAGAAGAAATACATACCGGTAAGCGGTAATACAATAATATCAAATGTACATCGTCACAAACGTTATTAATAACATTCTGAAAATGATTGTTACATTGGGAATGGAATAATATATACATTAATTGCAGTATAAACATAAACATAAACTGCATCTATGTTGCCATTTCAAGTGAAATTCCAACATTAAGCTTACTGTTTATTTGAAAATGTTGGTATGTTTAGTATTTGGAGCCCTAACAAAAATTAAATTCAGAACAAAGCAATTGCCTATCTAATACAAGTACTCTACTCCCATACATTGGAATACAGGATCCACAACTGTAGTGGGTTTGCAAATGCTGGAGGTATGCAATGGTGACCTAGAGAGGGCGATCTCCATGCACTTAGACGGTGTGATTGACGTTGATGCCATGCAGAATCAAGATGTCAATGCTACTTCCTCCCTGTCTTCGGCTGCTGGCCCATCAATACCCCTCAAGTAAGTGAAAAAGTGTTTCATAACCTGGGGAGTAGTGAGAGAGAGGGGTGAGGGCAGAGCTGCCAACTAGTACGGATGTCCCGTAATATTGGTACAGAAATTAACGACCATTACGGCAGTACAGATTTTTTTGCTGGGGTCTGGTGCTCGCACTTCTCGCTGAAGTGATTTGGGTTTTATGCTCTCTGGTGCAATGTGATTTATATTTTGGACCATTTTTGCAATAGATTTATGACTACCTGGTAATATTTCATAGATAATTTTGATTGTGCAGATTTAAACGTGCAGGTGATTTTCAAACATGTAATTTCAAAATTGGAACCTGCCGCTGTTGCATTTTGAATGGCTTAGCTGACTACCCTGATGGCCTGGACATAAGTCAAATTTTTACCTTCAGTTTTTTTGCTAGATTTGCAACTTGCAAGAGGTTAGTAATGAGAACTTGCAAATTGTTTAACTGTGCGCCTTTTGTTCTGTTTATTTTTATTCCAGCGATTCTGTCCGTGCTCCAATTCCAAGTAAAATGGACACATTGGTTGAGGATGTTCCCACATTTGGTAAGCTAACGTCTGTTTATAGTGCAATATTATGCAATATTATGCTTGGAAATCACTTTAAAATCCAATATCTAAGTCTTTTACTAAGAGCCACAAATATGTGTGGGTTCCTTATGTAAGTGGGACACCAAAAGTGTCACAAAGTGGGTTGCTAATTTATGGAAATACCCATATCCACCTGCCCCCTTCTCCCTCCCCCCCCAAAAAAAAAAAAAAAAAAAAAAAAAAAACATCAGATTTTGTTGAATTTTCTTCATATCAAGAAGCTGATAACCTTATTCTGTTTTGTGAGGTGTTTTATTTTATTTATCGGTATTTGTAAAAAAATGCATCCCGGACAATTTCTTATGCACAGATCTCTTGAACGCCAGTCAGATTAAAGTGAGCAAGCGAGGGAGCAATTCAGTACTGGTAAAGCTTCTCTTTGTAATAGTGAAATATGGTTTTGTGGCATCCCTTTTCTTGTTATTGGTTGTCTAAAGCAATTGTGGCTGACCTCATGTGATGTGCCTAGGCCCTGTATGACTTTATCTGTGAATGTAAAATCTCTTAACAGGACTATGACTACCGGTAATACTAATGATAGTAGAAAGCACAATTTTCAGTCATATCAAGAGGTTCTTCATTTCTAGATGAAATATGTGGATAAAAGACATGTGTCGAATGGGACACGCTGCATAGAATTATCCTTTTTTCAAATTTCAAATGATTTTTTGGTTGTTGCTGTTATTTTTCGCTGGTAAGAATTATGGCTCAAGTTAATTTAGTTTCATTGGTCGAAGCTCATAATTTTGATTATCATTTTCTGCAGGTCCAGTTCCTAGACAAAGAAGGGCCAGACAGTCCGTTTTTGATGGTCTACGCGACTTCCAAGCAGAAACAAGTGAGTTGTTAATGGATATCGTATTTTGCCTTTCTTGGAGCATCGTTATGAGGGAGCATGATGGTTTCATTCACTTGACTCTCAAGCAAAAGGTTTGAGGTTCAAATTTCTGCCTAGTGCGTATAGTCCTTAGACAAGGCATTTTATCCACAGTTGTCTCTCTCCACCAGGGTTAGTCCAGCCTCTGTACCGTTTTCGTTCAGCGCACCCAATCAGCTGATAAAATAACACACCCTCAACGTTGAAAGTAGACCTAGCCATTCCTCTAAATCTGGACGGAAATTTGGGGATTGCGCGATCAGTGGAGAGACCGCGCTGTGTGTGGGGATAAAAAGAACGAACGGACTGAATCTGGACTACACCAGGGTGTGAAATGGGTACAGTACCTGACAGGATTTAGTCCTGGAAATGCCATGTGCACTCCTGTGGCTGCCATAGCTCAAGCCAAGGTGACGACATCCAACATCTTTAGAAGCGCATAGGGACGTCATACAATAATGTAAGATATACAAGAACAGTTTATTAGGTCTTCTGTTCTATTCACCTCTAATATTTGCTTATTTTTTTATTATTTTCCTTTCTGTACATTTCTTATGGAACAGATATCTCAAGACTGCCAATTTCATGTATCTGTGCGTCAACCTTATGAAAGCTTCAAACACTAGTTTTTGTTCACACGATTTGTGTTCCTGATCCTGTTCTGCTTTTAAGGTCTTGGGATATATCCTTGTGTCCCACTCAAGGCCATTAAATATTTTATTAGTAAACCTTTGAAGAAAAAAAGGATTCCCTCTCCCAGCCTCTATCATAAAGATCATGTTAAAAGCTGGGCATGCAATTGCATTAGGAAAGTAGCTAGAAATTATAACGAATTGTAGATCATGTGAAATTGGAATATTAATTCCAAAGTTGTTACAAGATTCATTTGAAGTATGCATCATCATCAGGAGGTAAAGCGAGCTGAGTTTGGAGACACGCCATGAGATAAATGATTCTTGTAAATTATACAAGATGTCTACCAAGAGTATTTGTTTACATCATGTTTCATTAAATTATCAGATTATTAAGCATGAAATTTTGAATGGACTAATTCTATATCAATCCAAAGACGGTAGTTCTATAAAAACATGCATAGTGGAAAATGGTGATTTTGAATTAAAGCCCCATCGCACTAGTTTGGCCAGGAGGGGTTAGACCTCCCTGCATGGTCACTGACAGGTGGTTATCTCATCAAATCAGCTCTCAATTAACATAGGAAAAAGGGGACCATGGGGGACCAATGGTCACCGATTAGGCATTTTTGCTATATAGAGGGCGCAAGTAGCTATCAGTAGTGCAGTGGGGCTTAAATGAAATCAAATCGAGGCAGTCACATTCATCTTTTTCCCCCTTTCTTCCAGGGCTCCAGGAGGAGATGATGCACAACCCCAAGTCATCATCGAAAAAGAGAACATTAGAAGATCTTTTCAGACCACCTCTAGACCTCATGCACAAAGGAACATTTGTTACGGTGAGAAAGGGTCTCTTTGTAGGACAGAATTGAAAAGCATTTTTTTTAAAGCAGGACCGTAAATACGAGTTTGCCGGTCTAACAAAAAAAGTGAGAATACTGTTAAAAAAATGATAATTTGTAGTAGGAAATTAGTATACAAATAATTTATAAAATGATTTTACTAATGACCGGTCATTATCATTTGATAATGACCGGTAAAGCTGTGCACAACAGTGTAATAAGGTACCCGAGTACACTCCCAAGCTTACAAGCGAATACTCAAATATTCGGACGCCATGTTTTTTATAATTTTTTTTGATTTTTTTTTGTTGTTGAATTTTTTTTATTTTTTTTTAATTTTTGATTTTTTTTGTTGTTGATTTTTTTTTTGCCACCACCATACCACTGAAGCACTATCCCAGGTCCGTCGCCGAAAACGCATGCAATTTGACTTCGAGTTGCAGTTGAAGGCGCCGATTTAATAATAACAATGACAGTAAACAATGCTGTTTTAAAAACCAAAGATGGCAGAATAATCCATTTTTCTCCAAGTCCAAACAGAAATCCGGACATTTGGTCCCAGTTTCTGAGTGGTGAGTTTGACAGTGCTTGAGTTGGGAAACATTTTTACCGACGGCACCATGCCAGCGGCCGCCGCTCTCCCTGGCACGGGTAAGCGTGGGCCTGGACAGCGCCAGGTGACCGGGATTTTTGTTTTTTTGCGGCCGAATATTCAAGTACGAGAAATCGTACCCGAGTAGTTGTCAACCGTGCGGGTACTCGAGCATTCGACCACACGTTGCAGCCCTAATGACCGGTCATTATCAAAATTGCATACCACTTTCTCAAGTTAGCTCATTGATGACTGACAGATGATGTCACAAGGGGAATGAGATCTTGAGGTTTTTGGGTTGGAGCTTAGCAAGTTTGAAAAGCAAATATTTCAAAAAATATTTAAAGATCTATGAAACACATTCAGAAGTTTACATATCAAAATATAGGATGTAAGCAGGACTACACACCAACAGGAATACATTTGTATTTCTCCAAATGTCATTTCATCACAATTACATCCATCTTGACCTTGACAGGCACGGGAAGCTGGGCAAGCCCAGGGCAAGTGGCTCATGGTCAACGTTCAGAATGTAAGAGAATTCAGCTGTCAGCAACTTAACAGAGACATCTGGAGTGACTCTACTGTCAAGAGTATCATCAGGGAGTCTTTCATCTTTTGGCAGGTACGTCTTCCCACGTTAATAGGGACTTTTAGATTTGCACAACAACAACATGGATTGCTACGATCGACGTCCTTTTAATGCACTGCCTTGAATGGACGTCACCCGTATCAGTCCACGCAAATCTAAAAGTCCCTATTCTTACATTTGCTCCGGCGTCACTTTAGATTTATCTGATTGTCCCTAAAATATCATCAGTTTGTCTTTTTTCCTTTCTTCTTCTTTTAAAATCAGCTTAATAGCGGTGTAGATTTCTTAAAAGATGTCTTATGATAGTCCTAAATTATTAATTTCATTTTCCCTTACAAAACAAATATTCAAGAGAATTCAAGGATTCTTTCATCGGGTATGTCTGCTCATAGTGATCTCACATTTGCTCCTCATTAATGTCATCAATGTGTTTCTCTCATTATCTTCCTTTGTTGAAATCTGCTAAATATCAGTATGGACCACTTGAAAGATACATCATAAAGTGGATAAATTACAGATTTCATCTTCCCCTTCAAAGCAATTAGTCAGAAGAAGGCATCTTCTAAAATTCTGCCTCTCTTCGTCCAAGTTTAGTGATTGTATACGTGGTACGGAAATGATTTACCGTAATGCACTATGACATGATAACAGCTGCTAGCTGTAAGGCCAAAGGAAAGTGCTTTCATATAAAAGCAGCAGCAGTAAATGTATTTTGTAAATGTCTAACAGTAAGGGGATGCAGTAAATTTACAGTAACCTGTGCTAGTGACCACTTGTATAGAAAGAACCCCTGTCTATGATCAAGACCTTATTTTCTATTTCCCTTGAATGGGCTTTCTCATTGTTTGAAACATCATTCAAGGACCTGTACATAAAGACCACCACACCTGTATATAAAGACAGGTTTCCCTTGAGAGATCAGGGCCTGTTGCATAAAACTTACCATTGATGGTAAATTTGCCATCAATGGCAATTACCATGGTAACAGGGCTGAACAGCCAATCAAAATCAAGGTTTCCATGGTAGTTACCCTTGGTGGCAAAGTTACCATCAATGGTACGTTTTGTGCAACGGGGCCCTGTACATACAGGTTTCACTGTATATTTAATTGTCAAAATCATTTTTGGAAAAATTTGAACTACAAGAAATCTCTTCTGCCTGTGTTTGCATTTAGGTGTACCATGATAGCGATGAAGGGCAGCGGTACATGCAGTTTTATAAAGTTACAGAGTTCCCCTATGTCTCTATTTTGGATCCAAGAACAGGTTTGTTACATACATGTGTGATGCAAGAGAAATAGCATAATATATTATAAATTGATATGATATAAATATAAGTTTATGAAGTTATACATTAAGAGAAGAAATGGATGCAATGGGGAGAAGGAATAGGAAATATTGAAGGAGGGATGACTTGAAAAGGCAGGGATGCCAGTTTTCAGGCAATAGCCTGAATTCAGGCCCTGGCGAGTTATTTTCTGACCATAGTTAACGCTTTTTTGTGTACAAAATAGCTCATTCTAGGTGATTTTCACACCCTCTGTTAAATTCTAACTGGCATTCCTGAAAAGGGGTTCGAGGAAGGAGAAGGAGAAGAGAAGAGAACAGAGAAGAGGGATCAGAGGGAAGAACAAAGGAGGGCTAGATAGAAGGGATGCAGTGGAGGCCTCCCCCCCCCCCCCACTCAGTGTTATTTAGGGTATGGGTATGCTTGTTTCCCTCCCTTTGAAAGCACCCTTCCACCCCCCCCCCCCCCCCCCCCCCCACTCAGTGTTATTTAGGGTATGCGTATGCGTGTTTACCTCCCTTTGAAAGCACCCCACCCTATCTCCGGTGTGAAAGTCTATACATACCAGACTTCGTCACTCGAAACAGTACCCCTTTACCAGAGATTTGGGGAACAGGTATGTGTCCCTCTGACCCCGGAGTGTGGGGGGGGGGGGGGGGGGGGGGAGTGGAAGAGGAATTGGGTAGAAGATTGATAGAAGGTGAGAGAGAGAGAAAAAGAATGATTTTGGGGTGGATGAAGAGAGGGGTGGAGAAGGGGCAAGAAGAGAAAGAGAAGATTACCCCCAGAAAAAAAAATCAAATGTGACGAAGGAAAGAGATTTATAGAAGAAATCAAGATGGAACCTACCAATACTATCTAGAAGATGAGCTGATAATGTAAAGACATGTTAATTGAAAAGTATGATTAAAGAAAGAAATGTTCATAGTAGTGATTTCTTTTTTTTATTCCCATTTTTCCTCAGGAGAACAGATGGCAACTTGGCATAGAATAGACAACGAAGCTTTCTGTGATGTTGGTAAGTCATGCCAGGGTGATCCAAGTTTACTCCTGCTACAATTGCTCTAGGGACATTTGCTTCTGGGATAATTTCCCTGATGACATTAACTTCTGCAGCAATTGCTCTAGGGACATTTGCTTCTTGGACAATTTCCCTGATGACATTAACTCCTGCAACAATTGCTCTAGGGACATTTGCTTCTGGGACAATTTCCCTGAAGACATTAACTCCTGCTACAATTGCTCTAGGGACATTTGCTTCTGGGATAATTTCCCTGATGACATTAACTTCTGCAACAATTGCTCTAGGGACATTTGCTTCTGGGATAATTTCCCTCATGACATTAACTCCTGCAACAATTGCTCTGGGGACATTTGCTTCTGGGACAATTTCCCTGATGACATTAACTCCTGCAACAATTGCTCTGGGGACATTTGCTTCTGTGATAATTTCCCTGATGACATTAACTCCTGCAACAATTGCTCTAGGGACATTTGCTTCTGGGACAATTTCCCTGAAGACATTAACTTCTGCAACAATTGCTCTAGGGACATTTGCTTCTGGGACAATTTCCCTGAAGACATTAACTTCTGCAACAATTGCTCTAGGGACATTTGCTTCTGGGATAATTTCCCTGAAGACATTAACTTCTGCAACAATTGCTCTAGGGACATTTGCTTCTGGGACAATTTCCCTGATGACATTAACTTCTGCAACAATTGCTCTAGGGACATTTGCTTCTGGGATAATTTCCCTGATGACATTAACTTCTGCAACAATTGCTCTAGGGACATTTGCTTCTGGGACAATTTCCCTGATGACATTAACTTCTGCAACAATTGCTCTAGGGACATTTGCTTCTGGGATAATTTCCCTGATGACATTAACTTCTGCAACAATTGCTCTGGGGACATTTGCTTCTGGGACAATTTCCCAGAAGACATTAACTTCTGCAACAATTGCTCTAGGGACATTTGCTTCTGGGACGATTTCCCTGAAGACATTAACTTCTGCAACAATTGCTCTAGGGACATTTGCTTCTTGGATAATTTCCCTGAAGACATTAACTTCTGCAACACTTGCTCTAGGGACATTTGCTTCTGGGACAATTTCCCTGAAGACATTAACATCTGCAACACTTGCTCAGCTGACATTTGCTCCTGGGACATCTCTTCTAGCGTCAGTGTTATTTGCTCTGTGCTGTATTTAGTCCTAGATCTTGGGTTAGGGTTGGGGTGCTATTGGGTATTAGGTTAGGTTTAGGATGATGGGTTAGAGTCAGGCTTGTGTTTGGTCTAAGGTTGAAGTTAGGAATTTAGTAAGTATATGACTTAGACTGTAGAGCATTTGTCGCTGGAGTGTGTGTCCTTTTTACCCATGTCTGATTGCTTTCTCGACTGCTTTCTGTAAGAAAATTAACACGTTATGATTTGTACACAAATTTTAACGAAAATTATGGGAACTCCATGGGGTAGCTTCTGGGATGAGGGTGTTGATATTGTTTATGTTACCGGTAATCATTCATTTAGCTCAGACTTACTTGGGGAGTTACAGAACCAACAAAATCAAGGCAGATGGAATGATGGGGCAAACAAATGAACAAAACACTCGATTAGAGCAACTAATTTAATGCAAAACATACATAAATTTAAGAAAGTAATGAAAATGGTCTTTTCTCCCCTCTCTCAGTGATGCAGTTCTTATGTGACCACAAAATGGACATTCCAGACATTGTTCCTCTGTCACCGCCGGCCGATAGCCCTTCGTCATCTGGGCCACCTGCCAAGAAGGCTAGAACATCTGTAAGTAATACCGTTTCAGGCCTTTCTTTGGAATGTATCCTGTATGACATATGACATTTATCCATTTAAAGGGATCAGCTATCTTTTCCTCGGATTCTAAACAAAATTCTGGATTTAGCTCATGCTGCAATCACAATTATAAACCTTTAGGACAGTCAGGAATCCCATGACTGCAGGCTAGCGTAGGGAATCATTGCAAGAAAAGAAAAATGCAAAGGGAAAATGTATACATTCTTACTTCAGTTATTGTGGGCGAACCCCCCTCCCCCCACCTCCCCTCACTTCCCCTCAGTTATACAAATCAGGGCCCTCAAAAGTGGTTTTCTTACTATTACTATTAGTATATGGGTCCCGGTTAGTTGAGATGTTTTGCCCTTCCTGAGGCCAAGGTGTTGGCCTGCCACAGAGCCCATAGAACAATGGCAGCGCAGGAAAAGTAAACACTTTTCGTTTTAGGGTACCTTCTCCCGCTTACCTCAAAATGGTCCTCATGTTGTTCATGTTTTATTATTATTATTATTATTATTATTTTGGCAATCACTCATTTACCCGTACAAAGTAAATAGCATAAAGCACTCATTCACCTGTACAAAGTAAATAGCATAAAGCACAATTGAAATATAATGAAAAATTACATGTAATAGCAATTAATCACGCATTTTCTACCTCATTTCTCCAAGATGCCAAGGCAGAAAAAAGAGGGAAAACGGCTTCCTACCCTTCCTGGGAAAATGCCTTATAAACTTTTTGATTCCTGATTCAGAAATGTACAATTCTGAAAAACATTATATAACTTTCTTGCTTCAACTTCCGTTCAGAGTATATATGTAAGAAGATGGTTGGATTTGTGGAGTTTCTAATAATGGGTTTATTCTCTCTCTTTCTCTTCCACTCCTGTTACAGAGCATCATTGATGCGAGTGAGGATAGTCAGTTAGAAGCCGCCATCGCCGCATCCCTGGCCGAGGTGGAAGCAGCTCAAACCAAAGCAGAGTCCAGCATCATTGCCATCGAATCCGATTCTGAAGACGATGTCGACGATGAAGAGGATGATGAAGACGATGATGCAGTAGAGACGATAGAGAGCGATTTTGCGTTCAGTGACTCTGAGCCCTCGAGTGAGGCAGTGCATCGGACGACCTCTAAGACTAAAGCAACAAACGGGGCTGTTCAAAGGACAAGTGTAATTGTCAGTGCCGCTTGCAAAGGTCATGAAGAGGTCGTTCACAATGTAGATGACGACGTGAAGGACGAGACCACTGTGATAAATGAGAGAACAGATGTGAAAGAAGCCAAATCAAATGGATCGATCACAAGCGAGGGAAAGAGAGAACTTTCATGTGAAGAAAAGGCAAGAACTGAACCTTCGGAAAGCAAACCAAAGATAATAGACAGCAATGATGTCAATGTTGATGTCAATGTTGATGTCGATGACGATATCGATGGGGAGAAGCAGGACGATGCAGGAAGGTTATCTGGGGCTGATGCCGACGATGCCACAAAAGGGGAGGATAATGAATCCGATGAAACCTCAGGTATATCTTGGAGATTGATGAGGAGGGCTAACCTAGTCACCCGTCAGAATCGCTTTTATTGTTTTTTTAAATCGTGCAGTAGGCAGGATTATTTGTTCCTTAATTTCCATTTATTTACATTTTGTGAATGAAAAGGGTGCAGCTAACTTCCTTTTTTACCACTGTCCAAGAACAAAATATATACATTGTACATGAAAACATAGAGTACAGTGCACTCACCAGATTTTGGATATAAACCCATATTTAAAAAAGTTCTTTAACCCATCTTCCTAGTTCTTACAGGGGTTATCGTCAATGAATCTCATCAGGCAAACTTAGTATACTCTAGTTAAAGGTAATACAAAGTTTTGGGAAATTTTGAAAATTGGGTGGATAGTGATTCTTTACAATTTTGATATATTTGGATGCCCCTGTGGATGTATTATAAGCACTAGAAAATTTAGCCCCTAAAACACTTTTACTTTCGAGTAAAATTGAATTAAAAAATTTACTGGTGCTCCCAGTAAATTTTGATAAATTTCAAATAGCGCCTACGGCCGTACAATAGTAGGTGCGACCATGAAAATCTCAGAATATGTAGTTGTGGTATATAATTTTCAAACGGGATTAGCTAGTCGGTCGATTTTAGTCAAGAAACATTGTTTTATAGCTTAATTAATATCTTGACCTTGAGAGGGAGCTATACAGCATAAAGAGTTAATTATTTATAATTTCATAACTTTAGACTCAATTTTAACCGCGACAACGATCACTGAATATTGTAAGATCGCATATGCTTGCAATATGTTCATTTGAACCAAATTCATGACCCCATACCAAAACTTTGTATTACCTTTAAGTGAATCGTAGACATCATGCCTCATTGTGTTTTATTGCAGGACCAACTACTGAAATCATGTTAAGGTTCCCCGATGGAAGAAGAAAACAGGTCTGTCTATCAACATCAGCAACTCTAAAGGTGAGACAGGATAGGTTTTCACAACACTTTCTTGAACCGAACTCTAGAACCGAACTCATTTCCACATGTAAACATAAGAGAAAGTTTCTACTCTCTGAATATGGTTAAACCCCTCCCTCCTCCCCCCTACCACATGACCTTAATATCTTTAAACCCTTTAATTCCACCATGGTATTCTTGCGTTCACCCTTACTTGGGTATTATTGTGTCTCTTTTGTATTCTTGCCTGACTGCACATGAGTGTATTTAACATTGCCTTGTATTAAATTTATTTAGTTGCTTATGAGCCTTCAGGTGAAACAGACTGTACAACTCTTACCAATAAAGTTGAACCTTTCCAACTTCTATATTTATATATATATAGATATATATATTTATTTAAATTCTAAAAAAAAAAATCTAATTCATTTCTTTTCCAGTATAAACTGCATTTAAATGCAATAATTGACTTAAAAACAATGTTATAAGTTGTATAGAAGACAAAATAGAAATATGGTTAAACCTGTTTGAGTTCCACCTCCTTATAAAGGCCATCTGTCTGCAATGGTCTCTTTTGTGTGCCCCTTGGATAACCTTATTAGACAGGTTGAATAACTGAAAATGATATTGTTCACCTACATGTACACATTGACATGGATTGGCATTTTAAAGGAGCAATGCTTGTTTGGTGCAAGCCCCTACAATTAAGTTACATTAAATATTTTATTTCCAATTTTGTGTTACTATTTATAGAACATGAGCATTGCCAGCATTGACTTGCAATACAGTCCTACTTGTAAAGGCAATAACTACAGCATGTCGTACCCAAAGAATGAAATAATTACATCTTTCTATTTCAGTTTCCAATGGAATTACACAACTATTGTGTTAGATTATGGGTTTGAAATCTTTAAAAATTCAGCCTTAAATGTTTACTTGATGAAACCCGCAAACGATTGTCTCGCTGAGTGCTCTTTTACAAATTCTCAATAAAAATTTGTGTCGGGTATGAAATAATGAGGCTAAGAAGCTATTTCATTTCCCCCTTTCTCTTATGTACTAGTATTGTGTTGGTGTCATGATTCAAGATTGTATTTCTGCTTCATTGATAAGTTTGGTCTTGTTTTCTTTTTGTATTCCAGGCACTGATTAAATGCGTTTCTAAGGAAGGTTTTAAGGCGGAGAAGTACGAACTCATCACAACTTATCCCCGTCGTCGACTTTCTGCCTTAGACTCAAGCACCAGCCTCTCGGACGCAGGACTTAGTCCCCAAGAAAGTATCTTTGTCCAGGAACGGTAGCAGACACAACCTTTCCAAAGATGATTGCAACACAAGTAACATCAAGGAGGGGATTTGCGATCATGTCAATTCCATTTTGTGAGGTGAACGGTTTTCTTCTAAAAAACAACAACCTTACTTTTGAGTTTGCTTTCGTTGAATTGGCTACAAGTGATGGAAGGTCTATAGACAAGATAGCTGAACTTAAGGTAGACTTTGTGCATGGTTTCCTGTTTCATGAGGCTATCATTTTCATACCTCCACCACCGAAGGTGCTGCCAAAAGACATTCAAAATTGAATTTTGCAATCATGTTTGCATTCAAATAAAATGTCATCCAGTAATTACACATTAATGGTTGCAGACAGGATCAGGATTGCAAAAAACATGGCACAGGTGCGGCTTGTTTCTTGTGAGAGTATTTGTAAATTGTCCCCCGTTTCATGAGGCATACAGTTATTTTGTAATTGAAATTTGCAATCAAGTTTACGTTCACATTTGATTTCATCCAGTCAGTTACACATTGGCAGCAGCCCACTTGGTCATGATTGCCTAAGGAAATGACGTTTATGCGATGTAACATTCATGGTAGTGTACCGTACCGATCACCCGAAAATATAATTTGTATACCCGGTATGCATGTTGCTAGAATGTATGAAACTAACCCCCAAAACCTTTTCCTGGCATTCTATAGGTAAAATGTTAAGGAGTATGAATAAAATAAAGGATAACATGACATCCCATGTACAAGGCTTGCAAGTAACCAAGTCAACTCGATTTGGGTTCAGTGTGCACCCTATTTTATGCTCTTCAAGATGTTTAATGTTCAGTGAGGGTGTATTTAAAGTGCAATATCTCTTTGTAGAATTAATGATTGAAGCTTGTATTTTTAAAGAGTATAACGTCAAGAGCAAAACGTGTTTTGGTGATTGGTACACTTGAAATATTTGACCATTGTATCCCGTTCCATGAGGAGGACAGTTAATTTTGATTAAAATTTGCAATCAAGTTGGCATTCAAATTTGATGTCTTCTTATCAACTACAAATTGATGGTAGCAGGCATGATTTCCATAACACTCTGGTTGTTAACATTGACCTCTGAACATTTTCCCTTGCTTCATGAGGCTAAACTTGCAATCATGTGTGCATTCAAATTTGATTTCTAATCAATTACGTTTTGAAAGAGATATGATTATGGTTGCCAAAAGATGACGTTGATAGGGCTAATACTTATAGAGGAGGGTATTTTTGTGCTTGCTTCAATATGCAGGGTAAAGTGCATGTTCACTAACATTTGCAATCATGTTTGCATTCAAATTCAATTTCATCCAGTCAATTACATATTGATGGTAGCAGATATGAGTCACATGACCACAGTTGCCAAAACATGTTAGTGATGAGGGTTAAGGTGTTTGTGCTTTGTCTCATTTTTCATGTTGTGAGCAGTCATTTTTACACAAAATTTGCTATCAACTTTGCATTTATATGTGATTTAATCCTATGTTAAAGGACTTTTTAATATGATGTGATTTTGCTGTTACACATACTTTCCCCAGATCTTATTCGGATGGAACTAACAGATTAAGAATAAATGTTTTTATGTTTTGTTTGTGTACCTATCTTTTTATGCATCTCTATGATTCTGTATCTAGTAAAACGCACCTTGTGTACTTTAAATCAAGGTATAAAAGTATCAAATGTACTTTGTTTTTATTATACACAATCCTGCATACTAAGGAAATGTTAAGGTGCTACATTTTAACACCCTTAATCAGATTGAAATAAAAGAATTGTAAGAAACTTCTCAAAAAAGTTCTGCAATTCATGTTTGAGTGTTGATATATCTCTTGTTACTGTATTCATACTTGATGTTGGTTCGTGTGTATTCCCCTTTACCATGATGCCCCATTTGTTTATCATTATTATGTAATAATGGAATGTGCAGTACACCTGAATTTGGGACCAAGTTTAATATAAAATGTTGCAAAATAATAATAATATTATGTTCTTGTATAACGCTCATATCCGTCAGCCTTAACACTCCTGGCGCTCCACAATTATTACCCCAGCTTTAGCATGGCTACCATTATGGCGCTCTAGCATTTCAAGGAATAAATTCCTGTCGGGTACCCATTTACATCCCCTGGGTTGAGTGTGGCAAATGTAGATCAATGTCTTGCCAAAGGACATTAGCACCGTGGCGGGACTCAAACCGCGGACCTTGTGATCCATAGTCTGGTGACATATCCACTCGACCACAACACCTCTACAGAAATGACATTTTTATTGTCAATAGGGAATTCTTAATTTGGTAGGATGATTTGAAGGAATAACAAATGCATTTTGAAACATTTCTCTTTTGACTTCGCCTCATATTCAGTTGTGCTGCACAATCTGGGATTAAATTATCATTACAAACGGGGCATTATTGTAAACTGGGCATTATTGTAAAGGGAAATGAACAGGCTTTTCAATGATACCAACATCAAGATTCTCAAACTTGAATAGTAGAACTTTTTCTGAGGGATTTAGTTGAGTTCTGTCACAATTCCTTTCATAGTGAATATTATGGCCTCAGACCTATAGTAACAATGTTTTCTTTAGCAGCAGTTTTTTTTGTTTGTGATGGGTTTTATTTGTTTATGATGGGTTTTATGTGATGGCTTTATCAAAATGTCTGTTGTAAGGATATGATCAAGATCCTTCATTACATACTTCCTGTTATTCTTGGCTTACTTTCTCTTTCTACCTTTTTTCCATTGTTCTACTTCAACCCACCTCTCTGTTGGCATCCTCGTCATATAAAACTGATTTTGTGTAACCTTCCTACTTAAAGCTGTTATCAACTCTATTTTATAATGATAATAATACACAACATTTATTACCATAGGCGCTTAATACTGTTGTTTCTAAGCGCACCATTGTATTTTGCATGTGCATTATAACAGTCGACCATTATTGTAATTGTACATGATTATGATTTTGTTCTGTTTGTGAATCGATCTATAAACTTATATCAGTGAAAAACAAATTTCTGAATGGACAATAAATACTTCATTTTAAATCTAAATTTCCTGCTTATTCTATACATCAAAGAGGCAGCATGAAGTAAATTTGATACGATTTAGATCATATTTTTATTCGCCCTTCCTGCCCCTTTTCTTGAGCGTTTATCCCCAAATTTCTTTTAATTGTACTCCTGGCTGTAAAATGTAATAATGTGAAAAGTATTCTCTACTAATTTGAAAGTTTAATATTTTCTTGTATTTGTATGTACGGGTATATAAGAATTTTCATATGTATTTTTTGGTTGGACCTTTACAAGTTGTTTAAAAATAATATCATTTTATATTTACACCAGCAGAAAATGACATTTGAAATTGGCCATTGAAATTGACAGTTGGTTACTATAATGTTGTTAACGTAATTTCTAAAGTAATTTTAATAGTCATGTAGAAATTAGTTATGAGGTAACTTTGATGTAATGAAACAGTCCATATAATTTGTTGAAATGGTAGCTGAAATGAAGATTGCACAGGTTTTTTTTTTAACCTGGAATTGTTTTAAATTTCCTAAGTCTTGATAAACTCATTACACATGCCTCTGCTCTTAAAATTGATGTAGAGTTTTATGTGAAAGAATGCTAAACATTCAACAAATGAGAGGTAGAAAATCATTAGATTTCATCCTGGAGAGAAATTTCTAACAAAGGCATCTTGCATTACACATACCTATTACATTGTAGCACTGTGTGTATACGCTACAGTCTACACACACGCTGACTCCGAGCTAAGCACCGAGATTGATAGGATGGGAGCCAATGGGTGGAACCTAGGATCCTAGTGTGGAGTGTAAAGCTGTTAAAGCTATTATATTACGTGAAGATATTTACACTACGATTCACAGGAAATCATGGATAGAATACCAAACATCTCGCACATATAAGTATATCTTTTGATACAAAGAGAACAACATGAGAGACTATTTTTAACATGTTTCTGTCCAATTTCCTTTTTGCTTCCAAAACTGTAAGAGCTGGAAGGGATCATAGGGCAATGCCAAAATCTTGAATAACAAAAATCTGGAATGACAATACACTATACTCACAGAATTCTATTTTTATTTTGTCAATTACACAGCCAGTGCACATTTCCCATTAGATTTATGTGAAAGTTTGTGTAACTGTTAACATTCAATATGCTTGCAATTTAATAAAAACCATTATTTCTTGACTCCGGCCCCCTCCCCCGCTAAACTTCTGTATTTTCACCTTTTCAGAATTATTTTAATAGATGCTTTTATTCAGGAATGAAGATGCCCCTCCTAAATACATTAATTATGGAGACAGTCAAGAGCTTGTACTGTAAATATGATGCATATATGTGAATATTATGTGTAAATATAATGTAACAATGTGTTTTTTATATAAATATTTAGGAAATGCCAGTATTTTCTTGCGAGTTATTGGTATTCAGGTATTTCATTTGTGAAGTACATGTAAATGCTTTCTTCATCTCAGTGAAATGTTCTTATTAAAAACAGATCAAGTAAACTAACTGATGTTCTGCCAAAATTATTTTGTGTGTGTGTGTATCAAAAGGTTTTCTCACGCATTAATCTTACTAATATAACCACATTTGTATATTATTATCCCAGTCATTGGATACACTTGCTAATCTGCACATGGTAGTGTACACACTCTGCTCCCTGGGTATTATTTCGGCCAGGCTTTTTTACAAGTGCACTCGAGTCAATCCAACCATATTACCATTCATGTCCTACCACTGTAACTTGGGTGGGGAGGAGCAAATGTAGATGAACGTCTTGCCAAAAGATACTGGTGCGAACCCGGAACCCAAGTATTTCCACCTCAACATCAACTATTGTTTAATCGATGAGATATTGCACAGGGCTATTTTGAGACTCTGTAACTTCTGAATGGTGGAAAATGCAGAGCATTATAAGGCAATTTGGTTACAAAACTAAAGGCTAATCCTGATGACTGACAACACCCGAATGGTGTTGAATTCTCACCAAGAGCCCACTAATATGTATCTTTAAGGTTGTAAAACACCTGCTACGGTTGCTCAGCAGTGATGTCCTACACGAGCCAGATTCCTGAATTCAACCATGGACCCAGCACTAGATCTAATCCTAATCTCTTACCCAACTTCGAACCTAATTGCAACCCTAACTCTATACTCGAGATGAAAAAAAGCCTGTCGCCGGAGCACAAATATCAGATTACCCCTCTTCAACACAGCATAAAGAATACACATCTCACTATTTGCTTAGCTCCATCCACCTCTCAAACTGGACAAATGCAATGGCACGCAAAGATTATATTCATTAATATTTATTTACTCAAATTAAAAACAATCTTGATTACATGATTTCAGCTGAAGTTGGATACATTTTTGCAGTCAAATATGAATGAACAACACTACTGTAAAACAATACATCACACATTACATCAATGTTTCACACAAACGTGTGCATTTTTATAATTATTCATAGCAGAAGGAAGTTTGACAAAAGAGGACAAGTTACAAGATGGACAGTGGGGTAGGAGATGGGGAAAGGGAGGATTAAAAGAGGGGGGAATGGAGAGAAAAGGAGGAGAAAGTGAGAGAGAGAAGGAGGAAAACAAAGAGGAAAATGCAAAATGAGATGGAGATATCTTGGAAAGGGAGAAAAGGAGAAGGATTGAAAGATATGGGAAGAGAAAAGATCAGTACTAAAATGTAATCAGACATGCAAATAGAGAGAGAGGCAACAAATGGGGGGGGGGGGGGGAAGGAAAAATGAGGTGGAAGAGAGGGAGAAAGGAGGATAGGAAGAAGGTGAGAAAAAGGAGGGAAAAGTCTTTTAATAGAGAAAGAAGGAATACAATAAAATGAATTAATTGTAACAAAGAAAAAATGGAGGAAGTAGTTTTTTCTGTAGGTAGATGAATGGGGGAGAGGAAAGAGGAGAAAATAGGGAAAAGTGTAGAGAGAGAGAGAGAGAGAGAGAGGAAAGGGAGAGAGAGAGAGAGGAAAGGGAGAGAGAGAGAGAGGGGGAAATGAGAGAAAAGGACATGAGAGAAAGAGTAAAGAGAGGAATCAGTACGGAAAGAGAAAGTAGGGGGAATTACAGCATTAAAATGGTAAATAATGGAGAGAGAGGAGGGGGGTATAAGTTGTAAGAAGTGTGTGGAACAGTAGATAAAGAAAAAACTTCACTAAATTGCTACCACCTGTACACTCTCAAACTCCCTATTCCCTAATCTAAGCTACGTCATCATTTTTGACTGAAGCAAAACGATGGCTTTATCTATTGGCAAATGAAGGCATTCACACCCCACAATTTAATTTTCCAAGAAATTGAACTATAAACAAAATTGCATATTAACAACATAATTATATTGCTGTGATAAGAACTGACTCGCCTAACCACATTAAAAAAAATAGTCACTACATCATATGCAGACACATTTTTCACACATTTGAATATATTAACTCAACATTTCATGTTTACATCACAATTCCTGTGTACCAACATTTATTACATCATATTATTTAAAGGTAAAGACCGGTATTGGAAACGCCCCAATTTCAAAATTGTTTATCCATTATTATACATTTATTTTGAAATAGTGCCCCAAAGGATGTGCGTAGGAGAAAAACAGAAATTTATGATATTTTTGAACATGACAAGTGAGAGAGTTGGCCATGACTAACTCATTATCCACTAAACAAATTGCCAATTTAAGATTCACACAGATTTAGTGATCTCATATTTCAAACATTCATCACTTTCTTAGTAATGGTTCGATTTAATTCAAACTTTCGCTATTCTGTTTCTTTCGTTTTTTCTGCTTCCATACAATTGAATTCAATACAAGGGCTGGATTGCCCTTTAACATTTTCTATCGTATAAACTTCTCATTCTAGTATTCTAGTATTGAGCTAATGCCAAATATGAAGTCCAATCTGACATTATTATTGGTTTGTTTTTTGCACCAGTACAAATCAACTTCATCTCAGGGTGACCTTTCCCTTCTTTCATCACAATACTTCATCCTTAGCAGGAATCCAGGAGTTACTGCTATGGCAGGCAAGTCCCCAGCATTCAATTTACTCACATATTGTTAATACATCCCCATGCCCCATCATACATCTTAAACAACATGTAATATCAGTGCACTTTCATTATTTGACTTGTACATGTACATAAACAGAGACATCAAAAGCATTTTGATAATCGTACAGAAAAGTTTTGACATTATCATATACAAATGACGGGCTGGAAGAGCAAGTAACTTTACATTTTTGTGATATAAAACAGTGATATGCATTCAATATTATGTAACATAAGGACATTTGTGACTGCTATTTGTCAGGCCTTGGTTATTTTAAGAGGCATCCAGCCCTCTAACACAAATGCACGCATCAATAACCACAAATACAATTGCTTGGATAATTATGTGACAAACTTTTTGACCAATATAGCGTGAAAAAACCAACAAATAGTTGCTACATGTATATTACACGCTCTGGAGGGGAGTATTACCATATGTTTAGTGTCACATGATAGCTTTTCAACCAATAGGATGCTCTCTATTAAACACGTACCAGTACCCCATTTTATATATTGAAAGCATGTACCAAGTAGGACATGTCACTCCCCATCCCAGCTGCTTCTGTGTTATCTGTACCTCTTTGTCACCTTACATCGTGTTCTAAATTAGCACATATGAAGTACTGAGTATCATGTCTTAACAATATTTTTCACTAATTGCAAACAATTTCTTGAGTATGTATGCAGTCGCCCTATGCTAAAAAAAAAAAATAATATTGGGGTCTTAGCATTATCGCCTATGTGTTGCAGGCCATTGTTGGTGTTGAGCTATGATTATGGTGTAGCTTTGTAGTAGTCTTCAACCGAAAGAGATGATCCTCCACCGTAGAAGTCTAAGATCCAGACGTCGGTGATGATCAGTTTCTTGAAGCTAAAGTTGTGACCGCTGGGCCAGCTGGGCATGAGAGGGTGACGAGAGAAGAGGGCCTCCTTTGCAAACGCATTTTCCTTGGGGTCAGTAACGTGAACCAGTTTACCTAGAGGAAAGTGGATATATCACTGTTCATGAAAACGCTACATCTATGACAGAAAATAAAAGAAACAAAAATGAGATAATATCCCTTCCAGCTACCCCTCCCCGTACCAGGAATAAAGTTAAGGCCAGCACAATTGCACTCCTACATTTCACGGTGATCAATCGTACAAGGGTGGCTATTCAAATGCACATATTATCAAAATACAAGACACAGCTGGAAATTTTGGACCTAACATTCATGCCACCGGTATGTGTAGTCCCATATATAAATTCCTGTGTGCAGTTCATGTATTTTTCAGCAAGATTGAGTCACTTTCTCGTTGTAATGTTTTGTTGATTCTAAAACCTTACGGAATATACACAAATTCTTATGTTACATAATCAACCTTCCCAAATTGCATCCAGATGGTTTCTTTCACAATGAAATAGCATGGCCTGGGGGGTGTTTCACAAAGACTAAGATCGAATTTAAGTTGGACTTATATGGCAGGCAGTTCATGCCACTGTTTGCTCTCACCATTCCTGGCATTGGTCTCTTAAGGGATCGATGTACAAATCCTGATCACAAATCCTCATAATTTACTTTTTTTGTTAGTTCATTATTTAAGGAAAAATTTTGAATATTTTTTCCCTCTAATTTTACATTTGGTTCAAGGCTTTTTAAAGTCATAAATCGCATACTGTAGAATAATTTTAGTCTTAAATATAACCTAACTTTACAATGTATGTAACTTTTTTTTGTAAAACAACGAACTATCGAAAATGCAAATTCTGTAGATTTATAACGTCCCTTGAGAGACTAATGGTGAGACCATGAGAGCAACCAATGACATGAATGGCCTGTCATAGTTCAAGTCCAATTTAAGTCTTTTATTCTTAGTCTTTGTGAAACACCACCCAGAACTCAACGTGATCTTTAATAATGCCTCCTGCACAACATTTGGTTGCAGAATAAAAACAAGCGAGAAACAAAGAAAAAGAAAATAAATCTTATTTACCGAAAAGCATCAACCTTGCACAGAGAGGGTTCTCTGGATCAGACGAAGAAGAAACGGCACAGTCTGCGACATCGCTGAACTCGGCCTCGCTGAAGCTCAACGTCACGTTGGGGTTCTTGGCGACATCTTGCATGGTGCTGTCGATCTCCGCCAGGTAGAAGTAAGGTGTGCCGGAGCTTTTGCCAAGCGCACCGTCCGAGATGGAAGTGGAAGCTGGGAAAGAGCGTCCCAGGATCTCAGGCTTGGTGGAGAACGTCGCTATGACTGTCCAGTTAGCCTAAATATACACATACATACTGGTTTATAAATACTGTTGTATCAATAATATACTGATTAAAGGCATCGTTTAACAATGTTAAATCTGAGATGAACAGCCCTAGGTGTTAACAGTGTCTGTGATATGGTGTAATATTGAAGCCCTAAAAAAATTGTGCTTCAAAACAATCAAGAAGTGCCTCAAAAAAGTAAAAATCTTTGAGTGACCGGATTTATCATACTCGTTTTCCCCAATAGACTGTAGTGCTATCAAAACCGTTAGGAAAACGCAGAATGAAATTTTGGTTTTCCATCATGAATATCTTGAAAATCAGACAGGGGATCAGCCTGTAAAAGTCATGGGGTTCCTGACTAAAGGTTTATAATTATCATTGCAGTATGAGCTAAATCCAGGATTTTGTTTTAGAATCTGAGACAAAGTTAGCCGATCCCTTTAATATTAATTATCAGTAGTATCATAGCCTACTAATAATACAATCACACACCTGCCTACCTTTCACAGCAAAAATGAAAAATCTCTCAAGGCAAATTAGGAATACAGTCTATTTCAATATTTTTCACACAGCATATTCCAAAAAAAATATAGGAATCTAGGGTTCAAAACAATAGCTTGAAGGCCCCCCAAATAGGAAATATTCCTCCAAAATAGGAATGGTTGACAGCTAGGCAATCATAGTATTAATCATATCATGAAACCTACTTTTACCTGTAAAGAAGACCACACGTCTATATATCAAAATCACAATTTCTTTTTACCTTGAATAGTGTTTGCTACAGAAATGTGTACATTAAGATCCTGTACATAAGGACCACCTCCTTTGTGTGTCTCCCTTTGAGCTACCGGTATACAGATTTTGCTGTTCAGGTACACAATCATGTAGGGTATACCAGTGCGAAAAAATAATAAAATACACTACAGAGAAATGTGACCAGCAGATTCCATTTGTATGGCTAGTGTTTGTTATAGAAGTATTCTCTAAAATGAGCTTCCATGGTAATTAGTGGTAATACTTTTTTCTTTCACCATACCCTGAAACTAACCCCCCCCCCCCCCCCCCCCCCCCCCCCCCCCCCCCCCCCCCCCCCCCCCCCCCCCCCCCCCCCCCCCCCCCCCCCCTCTCTCCAATTTCTCCCAAACCCATGACAGAGACCCTGAAAGTTTACATCCATTGATGGTACAAAAAACCCAAGAGAGCATTTACACATGTACACATTTAGATGTGGGAATATTCTGTTTGAAATATGGCCCACATTCATTGCATCAATACACCGTACCATTCCCATCCCTGATTCCTGCCTCAATATCATCAATAATAATATCCATATGAAAAATATGTCCTTATGCACTGTAAGTAATAGAGAGAAGGTAAGAAAACGAATAGAGAAGAGAAGAGCGAGATATGTTCAGCATACTTCTTAAGTCATTAGTTAACATTGGAAATTTGTTTCTAACAAGTCTATCAAATTATTGATAGAGGGGCATCACAGAGAGACTTTAAGTTTTTTGTTTTTTTAAATAAAATAAATGAATAATAATTCCCTAATATTGCCAGGGGCATTATATCAGGGGTATGTAAACTTACCTTATGGACCATGTACCTTGCTCGTCTTGCTTTATCAGTAAACGGTGGCCGTGTTGATGCGCTGGATTGCTAAAGATTTCATAACAAACAGAAATATACATCTCATATTTACTATGACGTTCACTTACAATAACAGTATCTTCTAAAAAGCTATGAATTGGAAACTAAAGTTTTTTACATCGTTCAAGAGTTCAAAGATCAAGCCAACTCTCAATGAAACCGGCAATAATTTTTTTTTAAAAACAACGTTCTTCTTCCTCTTCTTTTTCTTCCTCTTCTTTTTCTCCATCTCCTTTTCCTTCTTCTTTTTATTGAATTACCCCACTTGGGGAAGAACTGCACATTGGCCATCGGAAAACAGTTCTACTGACTGAGTTGGTTATTCGGCGATAAACAGAGAGAAGGATAGAAATAAAATCATTAAACCTATTTTTCCTGTACGAACTCACAAAGACCTATAAAATGCGAAACAGTTTAAATACCTCTGCTTCTGGCATTCTGATAGCATTGTCTAGCTGGTTTTGAATATCGGACAGAACTGCAGAGACACAACAGCTGACCACCAAAGCGATGAGTGACCAATGACCCATCGTTAGACACCGGTGAATGTCGAAGTCTTTCTATAGTGACCTGGCTAAATAAGAAATATATAAATTGAAGAAAAATTAAACAGAAACTAGAGAGTTGTAATGTGTTGTATTGCTTAACATTAGGAACTTAATGCCTAGGAACCTGCATAAAAAAATGATTGGTTTTTGATTGATCACGATCATGTGACCAGATATATTTCAACTATTCTAATGGCCCACTGCACTACTTGTAGCTACTTGCGCCCTCTATAACAAACAATGCCTAATCGTAATCGGTGACCATTGGTCCCCCATGGCCATGATCATCTTTTTCTTATGTTAACTGAGAGCTGAGTTGATGAGATAACCACCTGTCCAGTGACCTTGCAGGGCAGAATCCCTCCTGTAAACTAGTACAGATAAGCTGTAAGGTTGCTCTGAAAAATTACTATTTGGGACAAATTGGAAGCATTGACTCTCAGCTCTAGCTTTGCTGTAGACCAAGTTTCTGTCTCTTTCATTCGTAAGCCTCTGATTTGGGTAGGGTCAGCTCCGACCCTACCCAAATCAGAGGCTAAAGAACGAAAGAGACAGAAACTTTGGTCTAGCTTTGCTGGAGCTGGAGTGGTCTAGATCTATAGGTCTAGAACTCCAGTTAAAACCACTCCAGCAAAGCATAGAGAGTCAATGCTAATGCGAATTGGCAGCAATTGCAGGCACAAATCATCAATACACACACAACACACAAATGCATGCAATAAACACGATGTGGCTGATCAGTGAGTTTGATAGTAGCTAGTAGTCAGTACTACAGTAGACTTACAATTTGAATTTTGAAATTATTCTTTTTAACATCGATAAGTTGAAACAATTGTATTTTACTGCTATTTACAATGTATGTGTCATCAATTGTCAGTAAAGTACCGATTTTGAGTGAAATCAGTTAAGTTTTGTACAGTGGTGTTTGAAATGTTGAGAATCAATAGCACAGCTTTTAATACACAGCCAGGTCAATGCAGCTAAAAACTACACTGTAAGATTGAGAATCGTTTCCAGTTTTCCACTCTTTAGTCTCTTATGTCTTTAAGCAGTTAAGGGATCCAGTAACTTTGTCTCAGATTCTGAAACAAAATCCTGGATTTAGCTCATGCTGCAATCATAGTTATAAACCTTTAGGTCAGTCAGGAACCCCATAATTTTAACAAGCCAATCGCCTGTCTGATTATCAAGATATTTATGATTGGAATTACAAATTTTAAAAACCGTTTGCCAAACGGTTTTCACAACAGTACAGTCTATTGGGGGAAACGATTATGATAAAACAGGTCACTCAATTTTTTTATTTCTTTTGATGCACTTCTTGATCATTTTGAAGCACAATTTTTTTTAGGGCTTCAATTAGTCTAGATCTAGAGTAAAACCGCCAAACTTCGGACGTTGCCAAGCTTCGGACAAAAATTACTTCAACGGCTCGAACGCAAAATATGAGCCTAGCTCAGGCGGGTAACTTGCATGCATTTGATACTTCTACTAACCTATATCGTTAGTACAAAAAGTTAGGGCAGGTTGCCGTCTGCAAAACTCACATAAAACATTGAATTCAGAGACAAATTTCAGGTTGTAGATTTTTACAGTTCCTTAACAGGGGATTTAAGGTGTAGAGCCTCCAATATTTCGATTAAAAACAAATCCTTGGCATATTTCGGGTGGTTTCTGCCCAAATTATGGGAGCTTATGAGATACTTTTTCACTCTATCGCGAAAAATTTCTAATGGCGGCCATTACCACGGACCTAGGGGTACTAGATAGATTACCCTACCGGAAGATGGGGCTCTTCCAAGCTTCGGACAGGCAACATTCAGTGTCATTTCGACTACAAAAAAAATAGCGCTTTCGTAAGATTTTAGCACCAAAATATTGTACGAGTGTTGTGAAAAACACCTTTCTGATAGAATCTAGTTCTACCTAGACTAACTCAAATCTACCCAAAACGAGAAAATAATACTTTTTTCATGAAATCGTCGCAGTCAAACTTACCCCCGTCGTACGATTTTGATCCGGTTTCCAAACCTCCGATGAATGCGTGCTATACGTGCGATATACGTGCGCTTCACATGAACGTCCGAAGCTTGGCATGAAAACAGGTTCGGCGGGTAAGTAAATAATTCTAGTTTTCCATTTCCTTTACTAATTTTCTTTTCATGACATACATAAACAGTATTTGCACAGTAATAGTATATTTGATCTTTCAATAATTAAAAAAAGAATTTAATGTTGTCCCCCGTTTTGTCTTAAGTGTCCGAAGTTTGGCGGTCTTACTCTACACCATAATTATAGACTCAATGCCTAGGCCAGGGCTTAACACTGCACAGACACTGATGATAACACGTAGGGCCGTGCATCTCAGATTAAACATTGTTAAACGATGCCTTTAGTTTAAGAGTCTTAGTTTTACTATTGTTTGGAAGAATGAATGACAGCTAGCCCAGTACCTTTTTCAGAGTCAAATCTTTGTCGCCGTCGACGTCGTCGCTACACAATTTAACTAAGATCAAACACCAGCGCAGCTCTATCAGTCGACATCCAGACATCCAATGTACTGTGTATGGGCTATGGCAATGCCTTATTTATCTGCATGACATCACTGGCCTGACATCGCATCACGTTATCACGCGGACCACCGCACCACCCGGATCGCGAATTTTTTTTCCGTACTCGAGAGGGCAAATACCCCATGTGCGCATGCGCGTGGACTTGTGATTTCTCTGCTACTTCCCATACGAAATGTACATGTATTCGCATCTACTGTGCACGATTCGCGTTCTACGAGTAAACGATGGCATAGTAGTCTTCAAACACAGACTCTGATTTGCCAGTTTGACAAATCAATATGCGTATGTGTCGCGATGTGCTTATTCAAGTCTGTGTAGTTGTATGATTCAGACCCAGTAGTGCATATGGAAATACATTGCAACTTGTATAGAATGGTATAGTAGTCTGCAAGCACAGACGCTAATATGACAGTTTGACAACATACTAGTAGTGTGCTGAGAAGTACTTTATTCAAGTCGCCAACTTGTATAGAATGGTATAGTAGTCTGCAAGCACAGACGCTAATCTGACAGTTTGACAACATACTAGTAGTGTGCTGAGAAGTACTTTATTCAAGTCTGCGTAGATGTATGATTCAGACCCTACTGGTGCGTGCGTTAGAAATGCATCTCAATGTGTAGAGTGTAGTATAGTAGTCTGCAAGGACATAATAATATATTGTGTATTGATGAGTAGTGATTTTATGCAAGTTTGTGTAGTTTAATGATTCCAGACCCCATGGTAGGCCTATGTATTGTGCCACTGCTCTCTCACACTCTTTCTCTCTCTCTCTCTCTCTCTCTCTCCATATCGATTAGCGTCTGTGCTTGCAGACTACTATACCATGCTATTCAATTTGGGATGCATTTCTGTAAGCACTAAAATGTCTGAATCATACAACTACTCAGACTTGAATACTAGTACTATTGCTACGCACGATATATGCGTAATTGTTTTGTCAAACTGGCAAATCAGAGTCTGTGTTTGAAGACTACTATGCCATCGTTTACTCGTAGAACGCGAATCGTGCACAGTAGATGCGAATACAATGTACATTTCGTATGGGAAGTAGCAGAGAAATCACAAGTCCACGCGCATGCGCACATGGGGTATTTGCCCTCTCGAGTACGGAAAAAAAATTCGCACCCGGATCATATCGGAGCGATGGTCATATTTAGTCTTTAATCAAAGCGTTTATAGCTGCCCCAGATTAAGTGGTCCATGCTAAATAACAACGGTGTGAGTGAGGGATTCCACCAAAGCGTTGAATAAAGGCTACAATTGGCGACGGGCGAGATATTCAATTCATTACCTCCTGAATGATAAGCGTCTATTAATAAACCTAAACAACAACAGCAAGCCATCCTGTCAATCAATTAACAATAGACTTTATTTTTGTTTATAAGACAAATTAGGAAGGAAAAATTACTGATTATACTGAGACACTACTTTAGGTTTATATTTAGATTTTATTTGACTGACTCTATATATATCGACCCTCTCGAGAGCACAAGTTACAACAAGATAAGATAAGATAAGATATTTATTCGTCTTTCTTTCAAAATGACACATAGAGCATAAGATTAGATCCCATTACACATTTACAATGCAAAAAAAACAAACACAAAGCAAATCATGGCAATGATAAAAACAAAGTGAACTAAAAGATAGACGAAAGATATCTGTATATAAAATAAAGTTAGAATATATATATATAGATCTAATATGAAAATACATAGACATGATATATACATTATCACTACCGTTATAAGGATTATCCTACGCTAACGTTACCGATTGAGCCAACGATGCTTGGCAAATTGGGTGGATGAAAAAAAGGTTTGCATGGATAATAACCATTGCAAACCTTTTCTCAGCTCATTGGGCGCGTGACACGGTATTAGCCTAGGCGAAGGGTTCTCAAACTTTTTACTTGGCGCGGTCCAGATGTGATTTCCATGAAATCTTAAAGGTTCGAAACAATGTGCAAATTTAGTTTATTTGACCAATTATTTCCATAGATACATATTTATGTATTGCTACAGTTGAGACAGACAAAAAGTGGAAGTTCAGGTACACAATCACCCAGATAGCAAAATATCTGGGGCCCATCTGGGTTTTGTATGGGATGGCTAAAGCCCACGTGGCCCATACAAAAACCAGATGGGCCTTCCCACCCAGAACCCACGCATATGGGCCCATGTGGGCCCCATGTGGGTTTTTGTTGGTCAAAATCGCACGTCGAGCATTGGCTGGGCCCAGCTAAAAACCAGGTGTATACCAGATGGGCCTTCCCACCCATAACCCACAACTACCGACACATATGGGCCCATGTGGGCCCCATGTGGGTTTTTGGTGGTGAAAATCGCACATCGAACACCGGCTAGGCCCTGCTAAAAACCAGTTGTATACCAGATGGGCCTTCCCACCAAGAACCCACAAGTACCAACACATATGTGCCCCATGTGGGCCCCATGTGGGTTTTTGGTGGTGAAAATTGCACGGCGAACATCGGCTGGGCCCAGCTAAAAACCAGATGTATACCAGATGGGCCTTCCCACCAAGAACCCACAAGTACCAACACATAATGTGCCCCATGTGGGCCCCATGTGGGTTTTTGGTGGTGAAAATCGCACGTCGAACATCGGCTAGGCCCAGCTAAAAACCAGATGTATACCAGATGGGCCTTCCCATCAAAAACCCACAAGTACCAACACATATGTGCCCCATGTGGGCCCCATGTGGGTTTTTGGTGGTGAAAATTGCAAGTCGAACATTGTCTTCGCCCAGCTGAAAACCAGATGTATACCAGATGGGCCTTCCCACCCAAAACCCACAAAATATACCCAGAATTTGCATAATGAATATGGGGTGCGTGCATATCTATGTTTTTTTACAATTTATCTGAATTTACAGGATATTTCCTAATTGCTGATGATTTAGTTATAAGCAATTCATTTCGAAAATACTATTAAATGTAAATTGCTAATTATTAGGACATTTCACTACTTTGTATACATTACATTTAATTAAACATGAATTAGGAAAAACACTAACTATGACCTAAAACAGATTCAATAAAATACAAGTATATGGAAATGTCTCATCACCGCACAATAACCAAGTCTTCTTAATACCAATGCCTTTACATTGGAAATTTTAGACGATGTGTTGTTGCCAATGGCAAAATTAATTAGTGCAAGTGCTACATAAATTACTAATTAAGTCTGCTAATTGGAGCTAACAACTGGTTGAAAGTTGTGCCAAATGGTACGACTGGTCCAGTTAAACCCAACTGGTAACCTTGGAAATAGAAATGGGATAAATGAATTCAGCAACTGGGTAAAAATAGAACCCATTTAAACAATGAAGCCCATTTAGAACCACATTGGCCCATACGGGACCATATCAAACCCACTTGGCCCATATGGATCCCATATAAAAACCCGCTTATAGCCCATATGGGGCCCATATAGAACCCACTTGACCCATATATAGAATGTGGTAGGTCCCACATATAACCCACATGGCCCATCTGGTGCCCAATAGGTAACCCTTGTGTATATTGATGGGCCAATTGTGGGGCCCATCTGGGTTCTACGTGGGCCCATCTGGGCCAAGTGGGTCCAATCTGGGCCGCCCATCTGGGGCCCTTCTATAACCCGGGTGCAGATTGCTGGGCCCCACATGGGGCCCATCTGGGACCCAAATGGGCTAAATGGGCCAAGTGGGCAATAGATGGGCTGGCCCATCTGGGCCAAGTGGGCCAGCCCAGTTGTAACCAGATAAAACCCAGATGGGCCCCACAACATTTTGCTATCTGGGCATGTAGGGTTAAGGCCAATGCGAAAAGAAGCCTGTTTTTTCACCAATAACTGCTTAGACATTGGCATGCACAAATGGAGGGATTGCAAGACGAAGGCACTAATGAGAATGGAAAATTGACACTTATTGCAAATGAAAATGGGAATTTGTCGACGTAAAAGAGGCCCGTGTCCAAATAAAAGTGGCACTTAATTATCAGAGTTGTAAAGGGGAAGGGGCACTTTTACTAATTAATATAGGGGCACTTGTCAAAGTAAAAGGGGCACTATTCCTATGTAAAAAGGGGTACTTCTTACAAAGTTAAAGGGGCAATTTTCCTATGTAAAAAGGGGCACTTTCGAGTGCTTGAAAAAGTGGGTGGGGGAGGGTTCCCCACGGCCATGGAATTAATGACGAAAAAATACTAAACTTGGCATATTGACAGAGTATATCTCATAAAGAGTAAGTCCATGACATTTCATATGTCTCAAATGGCTTTTGAATGATTATTCACATATCAGCGAACTATTCTGCATTGTGTACGGTATAGGGGAGACCGGGGACAATTGAAACACTTTTTTTCCAAGTCTGACATATCAATTTTATCATAGTTAACTACTTACTTAAAGTCTATCTGCACTAGTTTGGCCAGGAGGGATTATACCTCCTTGTAGGGTTACTCAGGTGGTTATCTCATCAAATCAGCTCTCAATTAACATAAGAAAAAGGGGATCTTGGGGAACCAACGGGTACCGCTTAGGCATTGTTAGCTTTATAGAAGGCGCGAGTAGCTACAAGTAGTGCAGTCCCGCTTTAAAAGCATATGAAATGAAAGATGCATATCTTGGCGGCTTGAAATATGACTAGGTTGTGGTTAAGTGAAACAAATTATTTTGAAGCCATAATCATTTCAAAACCTGAAGTCAAGTGTTACAATTTCCCCACAACACGTGGTAATTGTAACCCACCCATGGGTAATTGGCACATACAATTATTGTACCAACAAATCATATCCTTCAGAAAGATTTGTTGATTTTTTTTATATATTGTTTTGTTTACCTAAAGGCACACGCTGGACAGATTCTTAATACCTAAACAACATTCTATAGAACCCCAATAACATTGGGAGTGCATATTTTTTTTTTGTCCCGAAATTTGAAAATTTGACCGATCGACATTCCGTTTCGTTGAGGGGGAGGGGGGGGGGGGGGGGGTAAGGTCATCGTTTT